ACCGAGATCAGTGAGCCGAGACGCATGCCATGTCTCCTATTCCAGTAGACGCCTCAACACACAGTAATCACCACTTTTCATGTTGCTGCTGCTACTTCATTTGTCATACAGGATGACATTAAGGCCAAAGGTTACTCTGTGAAGGCTAATTACTGAGGCCGGTTATATATACATTGGTCTCTGTGCATGTGTGTTGTACCATAGTTTGGCTGTGACAGCGACACTGCTGATATAGAAGCGCCTGAAAATGTTGAATTTGTTTTGGAAAGGCAGAGCAGAGATAAAGCTCTGCACTGAGGTAATGCGAGGGAAAGTTCATTTGTGCTGAATGCAGCCTGACAGAACACCCACACCATGTCATTCAGACATACAGTAAGTGTGGACACTCTAATACAGGCCATACACAAGACAGCTCACGTTACTGACACACCCACGCATCCACATTCCCATCTGCCCCCCCCACACACACACAAACACACACACACACACACACACACAAAACATACCACGCAAGCCATCTCTCATCAGATGAGTGACCAACAAATAAACACGGGCAATACACACTGCATGCAGAATGTGGAGCGCGTGCGCGATTCATTCACAAGCTGCTCGTCCCACCACACAGAGCTTTATATTGGCAAAACAGGAAAGACAGAATCAATCAGAGAGGCATCGACAGCAGCCGCAGGGTGAGCCCAGCATGTAGTCCCTCTGCATCACATGACATGTCCGTCTCTACAGCTCAGCCTGTGTGTGTCTGTGTGTGTGTGTGTGTGTATTCTTACTATGTGCTTGTTTATGGGCAGGGCCATCAACAGGAATTATGATGTGCAACAGATATATTCTTAGGCTCAAGCAGCTTCTTAGATCCGCAGCCAGATGTGTTGGCTGCAGAGTGGGAAGCCATCATGGCACTGGAAGGTACTTTGATTTATGTGATGTGACTCAGACTGATAACACCAGAGCCTCAGCGCAGACACATTCAGAGGGGAACCTGTCAAGTCAGTGTTGATACTGATGCTCTCGCGGGTTCTGCCAGTGTTTTGGAAAAACCTTTTAGGAAGTGTAATGAAGTAGCTCGTTATTTTCTATGCAGAGGGTTGTTAATTGCTGATATTTGATAGATATTTTTTTTTACATTTACCAGAAAGTGACTCCCTAGACTTTTATCATTACTCAACTGATAGAGTCTTTAATCTATGGGACCATAAAATGAAATCCAGGACAGCTGTTGACAGCAGCCAAACTGGAATCATTTCAGAGTAATAGTTACACAGAGATAACCAGTGTGGTGCTGGTCAGTAATAACATGTAATCAAACACACTGCATCATATTTTTAGTTACATGAGATTACCAAAAATTCTGGCTTACTTCAGGTCATTCTCTCTTATAAAGCAGGTTTAAATCATTCTGACCCAGTGGAAGCTCATCCTTCCATACGCTCTTCCCATTCAGACTGGTTTCAGACTTCACTTCACCTACTCCTTAAGTTTTACAATAAAGCTGACAGATTGAAACTGAAACACAGTTTCTTTGTCTCTCTGTCTCTCTGCCTCTCTCTCTCTCTCTTTCTCTCTTTTGTTTGTTTTTCTTTCAAGCTCCTCCTGAGCTGTCCCTCTGTGCTGATTGTAAACAGGATGCAAGTAAGACTTTTAGCTATAAGACTTTTATCAGTCTCTATCTCTTTTATCAGTATTTGCACACTGTAGTCTGCATATATGAATCCACATGTAGCCTACTGAATATATAGCCTAATGATTTATGAATTTTTGCTTTAGGGCATTTGAATACAAGTAAATAAAGATCTCATTTAAAATGTCATAGGTGTGGTTGAAGAAATGAAAGACACCCAGAAATAATAAAGTCAAAGCGCCTGCAGCCCAGCAACTGCTCTACTAATGTCAGCATGCTAACGTGCGTACAATGACAACATGAACATGCGGATGTTGGCAGACAATGTTTACCGTCATAACTATCTCAGATCAGAGCGTCAGCTTCATTCTACCCCTAACCGACTTCATGACAACATATCCCATATAGCTGTGAAGTATTTCACTAAAAACCACAAATGTCATCTTCATGGTGGTGCCGTATAGCAAAAGTAATTAGGATTCATCCTCTGTGGATAATGAATGTCTGTAAAACATTTCATAGCAATATGTCCAAAAGTCACTGAGATGTTTCAGTCTGTGGACTAACCAGTCGACCAGCTGACACTACCATCCCTACAGCCATGCTGCTAGAAGGGCTAAAACTACAAGGAGGAGAGACAACCAATCTAAAGACGTTTAAGCAGTTTTTCCACCATGTCTGATACAAACCAAACAGCCAAGTCACCCAGAACCTTGGTTCCTCATTTTCTTGCTATTACCTGTATGAGACATCATGAGTGACTTGATTTAATCTGGTCAGATTTAGGTCGGCTTTATGAAACAGCTTGATACTGGTTCTACTAGTTTCTAAGGCTCTTTCGAGAAAGGCTTTTCACATTAAGCTCTGCTGCAACACTGTTTCATTCCTGCACTTTTGTATCCAACTAAACAAATCCGTTTTGATGAAAAAAGTATAGCTGATCAAACAGACAGCGATTCAGAGCTTGTTCGAGGTGCAACAACATAAGCAAAATTCCTGAGGGTCATAGTATAGAGAGACAGATGCCTTGTTTAGATCAAAACATCAGAGCGTGTTGTGTTGCTTTTTGCATGCAGACTGGCCCAGAGGACGTGGTTTGACATGCACACACACACACACAGTGTCTCTTTGTTGTATGCCGTCATCAAACATCAGCTCAATAAATCTCTGCGCAGCTTCCAGAGGTAATAAGACAGCTTCCTTTGTGGCAAAAGACCTGACTAAATGATTTAGGAGTTGAGGCTGCTGATCATAATTGCTCTCTTAGTGATGTCTGGGGATCAGAACCACAGACTGTGACACTGAAGCGCTCCATTTTTACTGTTGGCCACAGGCACTAGTATTCTGCGTAAGGCTGTGGTCTGCTGGACCGGTCTAGATAGGACAAACCCAACCGCAGTGCTACATGTAGCTCCTTTTCAAACACCCACATCCTGTCAGATAAAGGCAGCTGCAGCAGCCATGTGTATTGAATTTAGACCATTCCTGACGGTATCCTGCTCTTATCAGGGGTCAGATAAGCTCATTTCACAGGCCCTCACCTCTACTGGGCTACCAACAGGACCTCAGTCTGACAAGAGCTGACCTCATCTACTTTTTCTCAGTGTTTGCAGTTGAATGAGAAGTCAGGGATGGCGGTAACTTGACTGACTCTTTCTAGAAGTTACAGTTTAAGCAAAATCAAATATGTAGTCTTTAGATCTGTGAACGAACAAGACAACCTTGACATTCCTAATGGGGAGTATTTGGACTGTGAACTCGTTCACAATCCAGAGTGAAGATTAAAATGTCTTTGCATCCTATGAGTTCCAACAGAAGAAAGGGGTCGTCTGGACTGTGTAAATCTGTACAGTGAATGACAGGTCAAAGTACACAGCCTCATCTCAACACCCTTGTTCCTATGGTTGTTTTTGTGAATTTACCATTAGGCTTGGTACATGGCTTCAGTGGGCACTTTGAGCTAATTGTCTTGAACTTGGGAGGCCAAATGAGGGAGAAAGCACCAAAATCTATCAAGACCAGTTTTGGGACTCACCTTGGCTTATCAGTCTGAGGGCCCCTTCTACATCAAGCCTCCTGAGGATCTCCTCCCCAGCCACCGCACCCCATCCAGGCCCTGCAGGCATCTCAGGCTGACAGCTCTTGAGCCAGATACTGGCAGTACAACAGAGCAGTCATAATTGGCCCCTATTCATTTCGTGGGGATAATCCTCACCTAGGTTGAGCCTTTTCTGTTCTTGGCGTCATTTTTTTGCTAATGTTTACACAAGGTATGTATTGGTTTCTCCTTCTCCTGAGGCTTTTGCTGCGGCTGAGGGGCTGTATACCCAGAATATGTGTTTTAACGTGTGTCTGAGGGTTCTGCTCTTCCTTTTCTGCGTTGCTGCTGGGGCTCAAGGCCTGAAGTGACAAAGGCCTTGTGAATGTCTGACTCACAGACAACTGTCAGCATTCAATGGGCTGGATTAAGGCTGAACGTCGAACCGAGCGCACCCTGACATGTTGACATGTTCTACTAAGTGCATTTCAAGGTGGATTTAGCCTGTTTGCTCCATTGTGGAGGAACAGAAGAAACACAATTGCTAAATGGGGCTGACTATTCTCGAGGCGGCGGGTGAACTTTACTCCCGCTGTCTGGGTCAGGACTGACACCAGCTTCACTGTCAGGGTGAGTGAGACTGCTGTGGATCCTGAGGAGGTTCAGGGGTTTCAGAGAGCTGTGTCCTTAACCAAACAAACACAGTGGAATTTCTGCCATTGTTGGTGCAGAGGGTTGAGTGACAGGGCTGCATAGCAGACTGCCTGTCAGCAGAGACGACTTGGGGTCAACATGTGACCACCTCTTTATGCTTAATATTAAGACTGAGCCATGTAGGGTAGCTTAAGATAAACCTGTTGAATTGACACAGGCACATATTTACATTGACACCGTCAGTGGTTCACTGGATTTATTTTTTTGGACCTCATGACATTGCCTGGACCTAGCCAAAAAGTAGTTATGCACATAACCCCAGGCTAGCCCAGTAAGCTGTTTCCCCCTGTTGCTAGTCTTTGTGCTAAGCTAACTGGCTGCTGGCAGTAGCTTCATGTTTAGTGCACAGACATGAGTGGTATCATCTTCTCATCTAACTCAGCAACAAAGCAAAAGTGCTGCATATCCTAAAATGTGTGCATTACAGTCATACTTACATTTACATTTATACTTTTTGCTGCATACGACTTTGCTTTCTTTCTGTAACAGATATTAGTTTCTTCTTTTCTTTTTACAAAATGAACAGAGCCCAGTGAAAAAGAGCTCTCTACTCTCTCTGTATGCTTATGTGTACACATAGAACACAGAACACTCAATCAAGATGCATCATTACTTTAATGGTGACACTGTGCATTCCAGCGTGTTATTACTTTACATATAAATTATTTATTACAAAGCTTTAACAGAAAATTACACTTCTCTATTTACAACTACTAAAGTCTGTGGCCAGGTGACATCAGGCCTGCACTCCCCAGTTTTGGGTTTTAGTGCAGGTCATCATTAGCTGGCCAACCTGAAAGTTGAACCCTGACCCCCCCGGGACACAGGTGAGGCAAACTGGTGTAGAAGTCTTGAGCCTGGAGTAACTGATCAACAACACTTGAAAAAACACTCAGAAATGATTCAAATCAGACAGATATGTCATAAAAAAATAAATACTATTTCATTTTGTGCGTGTGAGCAGCCATACTGTGAATAAAATAACAGAGCAGATGAGACAAAGCAGGAGGGAAGTGGAGGGTAAAAAGCAAACAGACATTACAGTTCCTCTGACGGCCTCAATGACTTCCCTCACGTTGCCTTGGGCCCACCCTGGGGTCTCTGAAGTGGCTCGTTAAGCTCAGGAACATCGACTCAATTACCCTGGGCAAACATGCCACTACCGCTCGGTAGTTGTGTTGGTTGGCTGGTTGGATGGTTGGTTCGTTCTGTCCGTCCCTTGGCCATCCTACTCCCCCCTCAACCGAGCCCCCCAGACCCCTGCTGCGCAGCACCGCAGCATGTGAGCCCTCTGTGCTCCGAGTGATAGAGTCAAGCTGTTCCTGCTGAGCGGAGGTCAGGGTCCTTCAGTCAGCACCTCGGCCCTGAATAGAGCACACAGGAATCCCCCATCCCTCCCTAACCAGAGCTGAAACTCAGCTCTCTCCTCCAGCCCAGGTCCAAATAAACCTGGTAGCTCTCTCTCTCTTTTCCTCTCTCCATCTCCTGGCACGCTGTCACTCCCCTCATCGAAATCATTAATCAGACTGGGCAGATTAGACTTCAAATAAAAATAAACTACAACCACCAACCTCCTCTTAGTTCCCCCAAATTCACCCACGTTTATTGACAGTCCTCCTCCTCCTCTATCTAATAAAGCCAAGATGTCCAGTATAGGCAGCTGCATGAATATTTGAGCACTTTGGCAAACTCTGGGGGTCTATTACTGCTTTACTGATATAAACAACTTGCCTTATCTTCGATTGTGATGACTCTTGAGGCCTAACCGGCCATCCATGTAAATACACAACAGATAACCCTTATCAGTTTGGCACCAATAAAGCCAGTCTGCTTTCCAGCTTCATCCAAAAACACATTTCTTTTATAGGGATTAAAGGGATTAAATGTGCCACCTGAATGTATTCAGGCTTATGTTTTATCCAGCGACTAATTTATCCTGCACTCCACTCTTGGCTCAGGAAAAAGGGGGGAATTGGAGGGTAATAGTGCCACCTTTGGGTGAGGCTGAGTAGTACAGCTGTAATAGACCTCTCACAGTACTGTTATCAATAGATAGGGTTGCTCTGTGCCTGGGCTATGGCATCCACACAGCTTTTGACAGCACATGTTTGTAGCCCCACTGCATTCCTTCATGAATTGGGATGGTGAGGGGCATGGAAGAAAGAGAAAGGGGTTCAGGGTCTGTTGGACTCTGCCTGGCCCTGAACAAGCCGGGGCTCCCTGGCCCAGGTCCTTCCTGGCTGACTGACAGGCTGCCTGCCGACTGTTTGTGTGTGTCCATGGGAAATGGGGCGGTGTCGCTGCGGCGACGGCTCTGGGGCCATCCATCAGTGTCATTGTGGGGGTGGAGGTGTGGGGGGTGTATGGTATGTGTCACCTCCAAGACTAATGGACAGGAAGTACAGCCAGAGAAACAACAATATTTGTAGAATATATATTCAGAAAAACGTTAAGGCTCTCTCCACATTTCTCGTATGGTTTCAACAAAACCCTGAGTGCGGGTCTTAATCCTGATTGATGAGCCTGTTTATGTAAAAGAAGCTCACTCTGCGGCCAAGGCTCTCACTAACCTGATCTGTAGCCATGTGCTTTCAAAGCATACACACAACATGTATGTATGTGGGATAATCATAGTCTTAATTATGATATGACATGTCAGTGACACTAACCTGGGCAGCCAGTGATTACTTCCATGACCGGCCTAAGATGAGACTTACTGCAGAGTCTCTTATTCTCTTACTGCACTCTCTGTAAAACTGGAGGCATTTCAAGGCCACATTAGAGAGAGAGAGAGAGACAAGGAGAGAGAGCAGGATAAACCCAGATTAAAATCTTTCTACTTCTTTCACTGAGGGACCCTGTGTGCTCAATAGAGTTCAGAGACCAAGGCGCTTAACCTCAGCAGCCAGTGACCGTGGCATCCAAGCCAGAGCGCTTCGTGATGTTGACCTTGACCACCTCCTCGGCACAGGTTGGGTGGATGCCTACTGTCTGCAACAGGTGGGAATATGTTGCCCCACACCTGAGACACACACAGACACACAGAGAGGTCATTCAAGTTGCTATTACTCAGTCTCTCTATTACTCTGTCTTATGACTGACAAGTGTATAAGTCATCTACTATCCTCTAATAACTACAGCAATTTCTTCTGATTTTGTGCTATCAATCATTTTGTAAGAGCATGTTTGTTCTCCATATGGGGTGTAGCTTATTTTGAAACAAAAGCTTGTGTCTGCTAAAGACCTGAGAAAGGACCCAGCTACAAATTGTATCAGTAATGTGTTGTTAATTAAAGGCAGTCCATCATTTATACGATGGATTATAATTTTTGGCAAATAACTCTAGCCATGATCCATTAGACTTCACCTTACTTGCTTAAAACCAGTTTTCAGGTGTACTAAATCTAAATATATTTTTTTTCAAATAAAATTGACAAAACCAAGTCATTTTACAATCCCACATTTTGTGACACACAATAGCAGATCACAACTTATTGCTGTATTTTTCATGTATATGACATATTAATGTTTGAAGAAATCAACTGAAAAAGGATTGCTAAATACATGCATGAGTCCTAAGTGTAGGAAGACTAATTGGAAGAATATTTTGTTTTGTACATCTTGTTGACTTTGAGACTGAAACACATCAACTCAACACCATAATTGTTTGGATGGTTGTTCCATAGAACATATATGCAGCAAGGATTTATTAAACTTACTGGAAGCCCATAGCAAAGCCCTGTGTGACCTCTCCAGCATTCGGACCAGTGAAATGCAGACCCAGGATCTTCTGATCTCCAGCCCTCTCACAAACCACCTGAGGAGGTAAAAAACACAGAAGTGGCCACAGATGAAGTCAGAGTTTGGCAGGATTATCTAATAGTCAAACCATTCAGAATATTTCATTTCCAGAGTCAGTCCCTCTTAAAATTTTCCTCAAGCAGCAGTCTGAATCCCACCAACCTGCTGCAGGAGGCAACGCTCGTTACTGCTCCTGTCCTTCAATTAAATGCATGCACACTTCAGTGCGTCTCACACAAACATAGTACAAAAAACGTCATTATATGGTGTATATAAATGCCAACAAAATCTGCTTAAAAATACCCAAAAAACCTCACAGTAGGTCTGCAGTTCAACCCTACCTTTATGTAACACTGGCTGGCGTCACGCTCTGCAACAGTGAATTCCAGAGGCTTGTAGAAAGCATGGTAGACCTACACAGACATAAACACAGGACAAGTCATATAAACTGAAAAATTATATAGCATGTATTGTTGTTTTATTTTGTGTCTGCCTACAACCAATCAGGGCTTCACAGTGACTTTAATAGCCTCTTGTGGATCCAGCAAAGCTTACTAATGTGCAAACAAAAGAGTTTCCAGCAGTGATGATGATCTTTGCTTGTGTACATTTTCTTCAGTGACACATACACTCCAGCTATAAATAATAGCTACCAGAGTAAAAGGAGGGTAAACAAAACTGCTTCCAGACAATACAACAAAAACAAATATGCCAACTGAGAGAACTGAATTATGAAAATGGAGGCGCTTCACTTAAAGAGCATTGTAGTGCATTATAAGCATATTAACAGCTTATCAATTAAAGATACAAATAATTTTTTTAGAAAAAATTATTAATTAATTTAATATCAGGTCAGAGCCCCATATCTTAAACACTGTATTATGTGTTTAATTACCACCACATACTGATTGTAATCATTCACTAAAAATGCAATTGCAACACCTGGTTCTTCCACACAGTCACGTACAGTTATCTGTATAAAAGCTGTATCTGAATCTCAGTGCTCGCTTATTATGCTGAGGGATTTCTAAGTCCTTACTGAGACGTGTGTGTAGTGCATTTTATTCTATGGGCAAACGTGCCGACACAAGTTGTGAGGGCCATGCAGCTGTCGGGGGCTGGTGCTACAGCTCCTCCTCAGATCTCAGCGCGCCTGTCATCACCCCATACACACCTCAATCAGGCCTCCTGCTCGCCTGTCAGTCACAGCCGGGAGCCCCACCTCGCCGGCTAAACCATTTATCTACAGCCTTGTGCAGGTGTTGGCTACCATCTTGCACACCAAGCAGGTAGAATATAGAGCTGCTCGCTTTTGCATTGTGTGTGTGTCTCAGTGTGTGTTTGGGGTTTATGGGGCATAAAAAGTGCAACTTCTACATTAGAAACACAAATCCATTGTTTCATTAATTTCACAAAAATGTGAAGATGTTTATGGACCACTAACTTACAAAGAACCACTGTACACAAAAATATTATTTCAGTTTTCAACTCCGTATTTCAAAATTAAAGTCACATTTTCACCAAAACACTGCTGTTTACATTGTAATGCATTAACTGCATTAACCAAACAAAACACATGTCATTTTATCATATGCTAAAAGATCATGTTTTATGTTTGAGGCATTTCACAACATTGTGGGCACTTGAGTGGCCACATGAAACTAACACTGCCAAATTAATGTGAGCATTCATGGAGCATAATAAAAAAAGAAATTAAAAAAAAAAAAATCACACATATTTTTTACCACTATATTTCCTATATAGAGTAAATTTTTTCAAGTCATTGAGAAAAACTACCAAAGACTTTCTGATGTTTTTACTGTATTTTAGATTTAAATGTGGACTTATGAAAGGTTTTTATTCAAAATACTACAAATAAATTCTGGAAATGTTTAATTTAGGGTTAGGATTATAGGGTTATCTTCTTATAACAGTATTATAACAACACATTTGTCACATCTGTGTTACCTCTATGCCATCTTTTCCATGTCTCTTCTCGGCCTCCTCCTCAGACAGACCTACACAACCGTATTCGAGAGGGGTGAACACTGTGGTAGGCACCTGTCACATAAACACACACAGAAATATAAACTCAAATCCATTCTGGACAATATTTAGGTTTGAAATTTCTAATAACTCCGGTGATTACAGAACTGCCATGTCTGTATAAGTAAGGGATACTTCTGCTTTTCATTTCAATAACAAGGAGCAGCACCAAATGTATCATATAGAAATAATGACATATCTCAACCTTATTTAATATGAAAACTGTATCAAACATCTGTTTGATACAAAAATCCCCCAACTCTTACTATATGTAGGATGCAAACCTGAAGGTAGGGAGACTCAGCACAAGTCTCCATTAAGACTTGCAGAAAGATGAATTTCAGTATATATAAGATGATGAAGATTGATGATATTGTGGAAAATGCTTGTATGTTTATGCTATGACTCAACCTGAAGAGAGGTTGGAGGTGCAGTCAGATGGGGGTGTGGGTACAAACCACAAGCACCAGAAATTATTATATTGTTATTTGAATCAAATGAAGCATGAAACAATAGACTCAAAAGGCCACAAAGATACAAGCTGTAGAAAGATGGAGGGAAATAACCAGCCTTTCAGTGTTTGTATGTGTGTGTGTGTGTGTGTCTTACATTGTCGTAGTTCATCAGCTCAGTGCTCTGACCAGCTAGTCTGCGGGCGAGAAGCTTTCCTGCTTTAATGGCTGTTGGGGTCAATTCAGGACAACCCTAAAAAAAAAAAAAAAAACAAAAAAACAGAAAATTGAATTGACTTCAGAAAATCTGTATCTGTAAACACATGCAATCCAGGTTTGTTCTTGAAGTCGCAAATCATTTTTAAACATTTTTAACAAGCTTTGTTTTCCAGGGGTTTGAACCATTAGCTCAGGCATTTTCACTTTTAAAATGAGCTCATTCTCTTTAAAGCGTACATAGTGCAGAAACAGTGTAAATACAAACAGAGACTTGGTGAACCATTAGTCAGTTACTGACACAAGTAGCAGGTGTTAAACAAACCATCTAACACACTTCAAAAATCTCAGCCTCTGTGTTTTTGACTGTATTGTTCTGGATGCCTGCCAAAACAGACAAATACATAGTAATGGGGACACACACACAGACACACACACAACTGAATGGTGCAGGAAACAGTAGGGCTGCAGGGCAATTCTACAGGCATGACTAAAACCTGTTAAATTATCACTGCACATCCTGTTGTCCAAAACATCCACCTCTGCATGTATGTGGATGTGTGCTCTGGTATTCCAGTAACTGTTATTATCGTCATTATAATGCATTTCTTGGCACTTGTTTCTGATAAAAAAACAAAAAACAAAACAAATCACTGGACAAACTGTGAGATATCAACAACCCTGGTTTTAAAAGAAAAGGAAAAAAAGCCGCCCTGCTGCTGTGAAAAGCTGACAGACAGATTGGAATGATGCACTACTCATCAAAGCGAGCTGTCAATCAAAAAGACACTCAGTGAGTGTGTGCGTGTCATGAGGCCTGGAAGGCAGGAAGGAAGCACACAGCTGGTCGTGGTGAAAAAACAACATTGACATTACATTCAGCAGGTATAACTAGTATTAACATGGCTGGTTCAGCTTTGAACATACAGTGCCAGTGGTTATATAAAGATGGGCTGGAACAGCTTCACTTAGTATTCAAGTACTTACCGGTGGATATGTTTTTTTTATGTGCAAAAATAAAAGTCCTAACTTTAAGTTAATAATCAATTAATTTCAAAACTTATCTTTAGTTTTGTGGTGCATGTGGTGGAAAAAAGTCACCTTAACTCAGTTTACCTGTATATTGATTTTAATTCTGACTCAATATCTGAAGTCTTACCTAGACCTTATCCATGAAACATACTAGAAATGTTAATAACAGTAATCTATAGCATGGACCTATATCTGGTGGTTGCAATCTTTTAAGCAAAAATATAATTGGTTTCTATATTGTTTTTTTTAACCTTGTGATGATTATCAGTTGGAGCTTAGTATGTTTACAATTTCATCATGACTCAAGTGTCTACAAGCCAACTAGTGGTGTAACAAAGTCACTATCCGCATCTGTTTATTTCATAAAAACATCTGTAAGCAGACTTATACTGGAAGTGGGACAGGCCTACACCAGATGCTGTTAGAAATCGTATGTCAAAGTTGTTCCACTGACATTTAAACTCCTCACATGTATATGTAATTGAGCAGCTCACAAAATATACAAAATTAGGTAATGTTTTCACTATGTAACTAAACCATTTAATAATAAAGCATGATTTGTATTTGACCCTTACCTCCAAAAAAAGTAAATCTAAACTAAATAAAAGTCTTAATAAAAGCTGAGAATTATTACTGGTCTGGTTGGAGATGAATATTGGAAACAGAATGGGACGTTTTAACAGTGGACAAATACAAGTCAGCCTTGCACTGGGCCATACTACACAATGTTTTGTGTATAGAATGGGAGGGGGTCCAGATGTAAGTAAAGTTGGTCTGAAATGTCTTTGATTGTAAAATGAGAAAGCTATTGAATCAAAGGCCACAATAGCTCATATGGGATTTATTGTATAATCTTAGAGGCTCACATGAAAATAATTCATTCATTCATTCATTCATTCATCTTCTACCGCTCATCCTCTAGTAGTCAAAATGTCTTGGCCATTACTAGGCACTTTTCTGCTGTTAAGTTGCACGAGGTGTCGCATCATGAGGTGGATCATCAGTCCAGCTTTATCCTGCACTGCCCAAGTGAAGACTGATATGAAGTCACTGAGAATGAACCTTGCTAAAGTTAAAAGATTTAAAAAATCTGCAACTCTGAGTTTTAGCTTGTAACCTATTTGTTTACATTTTAGCAAATCTGCATCATAAAAATTCATGTTGCTATGGCTACAAGCAGTTCCTGTTCATAGAAGATGAAAAAGGTCTGAATCTGATGATTATAAGATATAAGGAGTGTCTTTGTCCGATGATTTCTAAATGGAATTATGGACATTGGAGTCCTTTCTTTGAGAGTCTCGCTACATGTAGCACGAAGTGTGTTTTGAATTGATGTATGACTCAGTGAGAACAAGTGGTGTGATGTTTCAGGTAAAGTAAGGAAAACAAACAGGGTAAAAAATTTGGATTCCATTCATACGTGTTCAGAGTGCATTATATCTGTTCATGTCTGAAGAATATATTCGTGTTAGTTTACAATCCTTGATTTCAGTTTCCTCTCTCAGAGATGACAGACCTCTGGGCAAGCTGTTCAAACTATGACAAGCATTTACAGTAACCGTGATGGGTGTGGACTTCCAGGAACTTCGGCAAAGTGTTGATTTTTACAGTCTAATTTAAGACTAATAATTACTTAGAGTGTTTTTCCATTCACGACCGTTATCAGGGCTTGTTTCTGCTGTCAGTGTGGCATCTGTTGATAATGCCTACCTCACCGATGTCACCGAAAGCGTAGATGTTTGGTACCGAGGTGGATTCGTCAGCACCCAAAACTATTTTCCCCGTCTCATTGTTGAGTTGCATGCCGAGCTTGTCGAGGCCCAGGGCTTTGGTTTCAGGGGCTCTACCTGAGGTCAATGGAAGAAAACAACACAAGGAGAATACTACATTACAACTGTGAAGAGAGGCGTGGTGGAGGAGACAGACGCTCTGTACAGTGTTCATAACACATTCTGCTTAGCTTTGAAGACATGTCCTGCAATGCCCCATCCCACACTGAAAACTGAATTACAGGAATTATCAAAAAGCTAGATACTATGAAGAGGGAGTTTATCTGTAAAGTGTTCATAACACCTACCACAGCATGGAGCTCGAACACTAAGAGCGAGGGATAACTAAAACAATAAGATTGTCTTAAACCAATAGGATGTTTTTTTCTCCCAGATTCACCTCCAGGGGCAACAATCTGCAATAAATTATCCCATGAAACTCTGCTCCTATCAAACAATAAAAAATTGATGGCTTGCATGATGAGGTGTTCCACCCTGACCAAAAAAAAAAAAAAAACATAGGAAGAAAAAAATGCTTTCATTTATTTAGCAACAAGACTAAGAGTGTAAAGCCATGCCAGCAGCTCTGTGAAGCTATATGTAGGTACAGTGCTGCTTTGAGCTAAATACTGACATCAGCATGCTAACATAGCCCCAATGACAATGCTGATGCTGAATAGGAATAATGTTTACCATGGTATCATCTTAACATTTCAGCTTGTTAGTATTCTTTTAGCATTTGCCAATTAGCACCAAGCACAAAACTGAGTGCAGACTAATAGAAATGTCAATAATTCTGCAGATATGTGGTCATGAACCAAAGTACTTGGCAAATCCAAATTATGAACTGCTGGTGGCACTAGATGAAAAGTCAGTTGACAAAATCATTAGGAGTCACCTTCTAGGGACCTTTAATATCTGTAGCAAATTTAATGGAAATGCATTTCAGAGTTTTAGAGATATTTCAGTCTGACCCAAGCGGTGGACTGATGATGCCATCCCTGGAGTCATGCCACCAGCTTGGAGAAAATGTCAAATATTTACCAGTACCATCCTCTTAAATGTGAGGATTACCTGCTTTTCTCAGTTGTGTATCATTGTAAACTGAATATCTCAATTAACTAAAAACATCTTAAAACACCATCAATGTTGGCCCTTAAAAGACAGATAATGGTCAAACACTAATTTAGAACTCTTAAACTAGGAAACAATAACATCTGGCCAGTTGAGAGGGAGCCCTCGATAAGAGGTGAAACTGATGAGCAGCTGGGAATCCATATCCCATCAACCCCAGGGAACACATCGAGGTGCGATCTTTGACACTTCCTGGGAGATGGTTGACTGATGCTGTCGACACTGAGTCTCCATGGTGATGGGAGCATGAACCACTCGCTCCCCCGCCCTCTCCACAGCTCCTCATAACCTGCCTGGGTAGCATAATAAACACCCGGCCCTGAGGTACCCATGTAGATGCTATCGGACAGCAAAAATAACAAACCCCCAAGACCCCTTTTTCCTGGCTGGAGCCAAAGAACAACGTGCTCCCCCTCTTCTCAGACCAGGGGGCTACAGGGACCTGTCTAGTAAACCACAGCATGGGTGGCTGAATGGGATAGAGAGCACAGAGGAGGAGGACAGAGGGCAGGTCAGGCGGTCCTGACCAATTCCCAAAAGCAGGACTTCTATTGCCACAACACTGAAATAGTCTACACATAAATGTTATTCTGCAGTTGGTGTCATTTCTAGTGAATTATAGTAAAGTTTAAGTATTCTACATTTAGCTATGTTCCTATTTCGTATTTCCATTTTTACACTCATTCACTTATTTCAGTTCAGGAATACATAAAGAATATGGCCTGAGACTGAAGTGAAGTATTGTGGGCAATACTGCCAAAGATTTAATCTTTACTTTAACCCCTTATTTGCATTCATGAGAATATATAAATGATTTATTAATGGTTTATAACACACTGCAATTTAGTTGGAAGTGGATTACATTAAACATTAACTGATGTATATGTAAAAAAAAATGCAATTTCCTCCTGTGAAACATCTGTAACTGGTGTATAAACAGTAGAAATCTGTGAATGATAATATATACAGCTATTAATGTATTTATTTTTATTTATTTGTTCATATATGTACTACACTATATAAATACTTTATCTTTACCTTCCTGGACAACTAAGCAAACTTTATCTGCTGGTGAAGGCCATGAGATGCAGCTGGAATCCTGGAAGAAATTTAGTAAGTGGATCTCGAGTCTTTTGGGTTTTTTTTTTGCTACTTCTCAGGTTTAGAGTAATCAACCAGTTTAGCTTTGCACTCTTGTAACACTGTAAGACAGTGCAAGACCCACAAAGGACCTTTAATGTTATTTTTTTCACACATTCTTTGCCATAACCTGGTACCTATATCACAATGTAACTCTACCATCCAACAAATTCAGGTGTGTAATACTGTTAGCATTGGTAACAAGCCAATAGCCTAGATTATCAATTTAAATATGATTAAAGCATCAGATTATACTGAGTTATCAATCATTCATTACCTGTTTATACACCAATCATTTCATAAGAAAAGATATAATTGATGACAAATACATTTTCTGTCTGCTGACAACTACATCACAGTGTGTTCTAAACAATTTCTTACGTGTTCATGCATAACTATAAATCCTCTAAGTGGGTGAGGGTTGGGGGCTTAAAATAAAGTGTTTCATTAGTCTGAGGTTCAATGGAATTAGTGTCCATCTACTTCCTGCTAAGGGTTTCCCTGCCTGACAGCGGCTGCAGCTGAAACACTAAATTCTGCTATAAAAATATTCAATTTCAGCATTGGTTTCTGTAAAAATATCAGTATTGGCCTATAAAAATCTGTATCAGTATAATCTGACTGGTAAGTATAAACTTGCTCTGTACACATCAGGCATTCCTGTCTGTAGCTCCACTCAGTGCTGTACTGTGGCTATGACCACAGCTCCATTGTATGGTGAGGGCACAACAACAGTGAGCTGGCTGATAAGACATACACACACACACACACACACACACACACACACCCACACACACACACACACCCACACACACACACACACTCACACACACGCACACACACACACACGGTCCAACAGATAGGCCAATCGGAACAAAGCCTGTTGTGACATTAAGAGGAAGCCTCGAGACTGCTAGGCTAATTAGCCACAACAAACTTCCATGAGCTGAAATGAGAGCTGGACGCTTATCTGATCAATCAAATGAACAAAGACAAAAGGGAGAGCAACATGAGGGGGAGACTGTTATTCTTGGGGGAAGAGAACGTACAGGATGCCAAAAAGTGATTAGGTGGTTCTATTTCAGGTTTTATGATGCAAATCGATAAAGAACTCACTAACTGTACAAAAGTTATTGTAGTGTTTGTGTCTAATAAGATGTCAAGGAAATGGGAAATGTATAGACAGTTTGGTGTTTTTTAATCACCACTGTTCCACACTGTGATGGGATCCTACACGAACACATCATTTTAAACTAAAATTAGACCAGTTTATTTATTTCAGAGGAGAGATTTCTGTATCTGTGTTTCTGTATGATAAACTCATTTGTTTGAAGTTCAGAGCTTAGCAACATTTGAATTGAAGATTTGATGATAATCATGGGAGTGTTCACCCCCACATTTTATTCAGAAGGCAGTTTTTTTACCATTAATTCTTAATAAATAATATCTAAAGATGTTTTTTTTCCAACAATGATTTCATTGTTGCGTATTTAGTGATGGATATTTAAAGTTATCGAGACTAAAAGATTAATGGGCCTTGCTGGCTCCCAAAAACCATCTTTTTAATATGGATAGTATATTTTTGCTACTTTCAAAATGTTATTTCCCAATTCCACTGCAATCTAGTGTTTGTAAACCAAAGAGGAATATAGAAAGACTTACAGCCAGAAGAGCAACACATCAGTAAGCTGAACTGAAAAAGGCAAATGCCCTTTAAAAACTACGAAATGTTTTTAAATGGCATTCTTGAGTACTGTAAGGCAAAGTGGGGAGGAAGACTAATGTGTCCACTGTCCGCATGCAGACAGGAAGTGTGGAAATGTTCTGTTTCCTGGTGTGTTTCTGGACACACCTGGACAGGGGAGCGGCCATGAGGCCAGGAAGGAGCAGGGGAAAGGTGGAGGGAGACAGGGCTGGGGAGAAGGATGTAGCAGACAGTGGAGATACTGTCCCCCGGTCCCCTCTGGCCTTTAATAACTCCACAGAGGCCTGGGACCCTGCCTGGCCTCTAGTGTAAGGTCACAGTAAAGGGAAGTGGCCTTGTACTCATAACTCCTGCATGCACACATCAAAGAGCAGAGGCCACGTTGTTACTGGTTCTCACTGAACTGTATGGGAACAAAAGCTGTCAGGGATATACATGTAGCAAAGGTTTGGGTAGTAGCACTAACAGAGGAAATTGCTTCTGGTATTTGACAATTTCTGGAAGCCCTTTAATGAGTAAGACTAGTTTGATATAAGGTGGCGGAAGTTAAAGTTGTGGTGATCGGATGAAAACTACAATGATATAAGAGTTTGGTGCACTGTGAATTGGGATCTTTTGGTACTCCCAAAAAGTGCTTGGCTGAGTTTGGGTGAGAACTCTCACTCTAATGAACATAGGAAACATAAGGGATGCAGCAACTCACGCATGTCATGACAGATGCCTAGTGATACATGCACTCAATGCAAATATCATCCTCACCAACAGTCTCACGCTGAGACGATGTGGGAATTTAGCCATGGGTGGGAGGAACAAACGTCATCTCAGCTGCAGGGTCACGCACATCCTCATCACTGTCACACGCATAGAGCCAAAGGACCCTCTTTCCCTCACACACACACACACACACACACACACACACACACACACACACTCTCTCTCTCTCTCTCTCTCTCTCTCAAATAAAGCAAAAAACCTGGTAGTCAGATTTTCGGAAGCACCGCGTTGTCTTTGAAAGCACTCAAAACAAATAAACCGACGGCTGTGGCTCTGACGGATGTTCCCTCCATTGTTACCCACACTGCTGGTGGAATGGCAGAGGTGGAATGATAGAACAGAGACTGGATAGCTGAGAAAGAGGAGGCAGAGAACTGGTGGTAATGGCAGGCAGAGGGCCGCGGGCAGGGATGGCAGTGACAGATGCAGGGTGGGTTTCCGCAGGACTGGCATGGGCAGGAAGGAGCAAAGAGGGAGAACAAAGAGGGGAATGCAGTGACCCTGTGCCTGGGTGCATCCTGCCCTGTGCTGCCCCTCTCCAACCACAGAGCCAGCAGTGGGTGATTAACACTTCCCCTGGCCATTCCCATCACTCAGGCTTTATTACTTTGTTTTCAGCCTTGATTCTTTTGCTATCTGCTGACACTGCACTCTATTGGGGATGACAATGAAATTGATGGAGGCATGGAGAGCAGTCACACCAGTGGTTTAAATTAGAGATATATTGTTACATCAGAGGGAAACAATACAGGTGATGGTTTACAGACAATCCCTCGGTTTTAAAAATAGGGGATAAAAGGTTGTTTCCTGCACTGTACTGTGAACTGCATTCACTGTCAATTTAACAATTTTCATACTTCATACTTTTAATATCTGGTCACAAGATGGCTAAATCATGTCTTGAGTCAATCAAGATAAGTCGAAATCATAGCCAGAGACCAGAGTCAATCAAAACATTAGCATATCAGTCAAGTCTTATAAAAAATAACACAAATTAAAAATTTCCTTTAAAAGCAGTGTTTATAGTGTTATAATCAAGGTGTGAGGCTAAGCAGGAAATGAAACCTGATTTTTCTTTACAGTCATATATCAAGTCAAGATTCACAACATTCAAGTCCAGGTCAAGTCTCAAGCCCTCATTTTCGTGACATTAGTCTTAGGCTTTCATCTCTGTTGTCCATAACCAACACAATGAGCTGCAACCCCTTTAGAGATGTTGTTCTCTATTTGAACTTCATTTTGCTTCTATAACACACTCTACATTATCACACAGATTCAGGTTTGTTTTGGATTTTAAATATTTTCCCTAAGAAGTGACACACACACACACACATACACACACAAACACACACGCATACACACACACACACAGACTCACCAACTGCCCATAGTACAGAGTCGTAGGTGTCTTTGTGCTCGCTGCCTGTCTGGGTGTCCGTCCAGGTCACCTGCAAGGCTCCTGAGGAGAGCTTGTCCACTCTCTTTGGGGCACACTTCCATGCAAACTTAGTCCCATAAGTCTCCATGTAGTCTGTCACTAGACCTGCTATTTGCTGCATAAACAAAAAGAGAAAACCCACCTTCAAACATGATGAAATCACAATCATGACTTCAAGATAATGCAGACTGTAGTACAGGGAGCAATACCTGATCAAACCCCCGGAGGGCGATGCTGCGAACCATCACTGTGGTGTCCAAGCCGATGCCTGTGAGGAAGCCCGCACACTCCAGAGCTACATCTGAGCAACACCAGGTTGAGGATTACAGTGCTTTTTTCTTCATGTGCATGTACAGATGCACCTGATGTTTGGCCATAACACATTAAGACTGACATTCTTGCACCAAGTAGGTGTCTTAAAAAAGAATAAGGAAACCACAGTCACACAGTATCTTAAGATAATGGTTAAACTTGTGTTGGAAAAATTACATAATGTTTATTTTATCATGGTTTACTACATGACGGGCACATAATGCATCTTACACTGGAAACATCTGATGTGTCAATGTAGAACTGCAGATATGGCACCCTGACTTTGAAACAAGTGGTGAGAGTTATTCAGAATAACAATTTAAAACTGGTCTGGTGTAAATGTTACTTTTTATTAAGCTAATAATTGTTAACAGCTTAACTTTTTCTCAACTGATTACCAGGGGACTTATACAGTGGCTCCATTTAAAAGCTCTCTGGCAGACAAAGGATACAGCTGGCTCCAACCACAAGTCTGCAAAACACAAATAAATAGAAGCTCTTAACTGAACTAATAATACAATGAAAATACATTTCATCGTTTGTGCACACTTTGGCCAAATAAAACAACGCAAGTCTTAAGTTGAAAATGTTTACTTTAAATCCTAGAATTAGAGAGGTGATGAATTACAGAACTTCATAACCTGAGAGGGAAGTGAAGAGGTGTGAAGGAAATGTAGAAAAAGGGGACAGTATGTGTGTATGTGTGTGCACTTGGAGTGTTAGTGTATGTACGTGTGGTCCAGGTGAATCGCACATCTAATCCGGCACTGAGATCTGTGTGCTGAGGAGGGCTAATTGCTAGCATTTAGCCTAATCCCTACAGATGGGTTGTGCCATGTTCAGGGCCACACATCAGTCTGCTGAGTGACGTTAGTCACCCGCATGGATGAGGCCCCTCTCTCCCTTGTTTTTACCACTTCAGCTCAAACATCCTTCCTTTAGGTCTGCTACACCTGACAGCTTCGGGTGCCTGCGGCACATCCCACCCTTGTCCATGCTAACACTAACCACTAAAAGCCCCAATGCCCATTTTCCCCACATCTGTGTAATGCACAGCTGCACTTAGCACGTATTGTGAAGTGGCTTAAAGAAGATTAGGCAAAGAGCTTTAGCCTGATTCTACACTTTCATCACTGAGATACTGTGTCCTAAACCTGCTTCTTAACCATTGTGTCTGATTGTATTTTACACTGGTTTGGAGTCTGTACAACTGCAGTACATATTTCAACTTAAAGATGACACTGATAAGGACCTTTCCAACCTTACTGACCCTGTTCATCAATGGTGACGTTTACGGATGTGCAGGCACATTTGGGATACAGATGCTGTGAAGGCCAAATTCAAGAATGGAAAGAAACCTAGTAAAATGGTGCCCTCACTATCTTTATGCATTTATTCAATGAGTGGAACATGCATTCTGTTCACTAGCCAGCTATAGGATGAGAACATGGGACAAATCTAGCAAAGACTAAAGACAAATCAGAAGAACTGAAATTATTAATTGCATGAGTTTGTTACCGGAAGTCATGTACATATGAGAATTTAAATAATATTATTTCCATCATATGTACCACACATACTTAAATTATGTTACATAAAATATGAAAGTATAAACTCTTACGGTGGCCTCAGGGAAATATAATGTTTGTTTGATTTTTAAGTGTAAAAAAGTGTCAATTCTATTTCCTGCTCCACACTTTGACTGTCATCTTATATATATATATATATATATATGAATTAATTTAATTATCAATTGCTATTCATTAATATTAATTAAAAGAATCACAGTGAAAGTGAGATAAAGCAGGGCTTTCTAGTCCATGCATGTGGTTAATGTGTATAACTCTGGACTTTCATCTGAGGTAACAAACTGGATGAGGAGCCACACAAAAAACAGAAACATTATAAAACACTTGAGGCTTGGCTACTGATAGTGGAGTGGTAGCATGTGGTTTGAAGCTCAAGCCAAGACTTCACTGAATCCACAAGCCCTGTGGAAAGAGGTTTTCTGCTGATCGTCTGTGGCTGCTTGTTAACCTTGGGTAGTTCTTCAGAAGCCTCGACAAAGATAAGACAAACACTTGACTTGGATACTCCTCCTGTGTGTCTGTCTAGAACCTGGGTAGATTTTGTTGCAAGTAAAGGCTTGATGTGAGTCCAACTTGGACATGTTTATGAAATGTTGCTTACACTCCCTGAAAGCATTTCACTTTAGATACATGGGGCACAAATATTAAAAGTCGCTGATTTGGTATTGAGAGTTTCCAAAGCTACATGGACAGCATGACAATGAAAAAAAGGACAGCTTGAACCAGCCATTAAACCATCCTGTATATAGTAAATTCTTGTGTCCATTAATGTTTGGTTGGAGAAAACAAATTCATTCAACATGCATGTTAGCAATATTTCAAATGTCTGTGCTACAATACTAAAACTCCAAAGATCCATTTTTAAATTTTAATGTCAAAATATTTTCCTGTTCCAGTTTAATTTTTGTCTGAGTAATAAAGCCTTTTACATTTTAAAAAGGGCTTCATGCTGTATTATTCAGTTAATACTAATCACTGATGCAATTAAACCAACTGCAGCATATGCAATTATTTATCTGAAAGATAAAGATAAATAACACTGGCCATATTAAGATTTTCAAAAACAGAATTCATTTATAGTAGAGTATGATGTTGCATGTAATGATAATGTTGTAATCTATGTAATATCCTAGGTGGATTTAGAAGAAAGACTTACTTTGTCAGGTGCACATCAACACTTGCGGTGTTATAGTTTCCTGCTTCTACTTCCTGCTCTCCCTAAGGTCTAATTAATGTATTTTTATGATTAAATATTTTGCAATATAGAATTCATACACTTCAGTGTTTTCCAGTTACTTTAAAAAAGTGTAATGTAAATTTACTGATATTTTATGTTTTGAACAATTTTCATGCATAAATCCACTAATCAGGAAAGAGGTTAATCATGCCAAGAGTGGGACTCTTGGGTGGCTTGTAATGCTAGGGTGTACTGCTGAGACCATGCTGGCTGGTGTGTGACATTTTGTGACTTTGCTCATGGTATTACACAGGTACAGAAAGCATGTATGCTGCTTTGTGTGACTGCTTTGTTTCTTTACTGCGTAGCAATATGTGTGTTTATGCACGACTACTATGTTTTATTAATGGTATTAGAACATGGAATTTTCTGTATTTTTACTGAGAATTTTGTGTATCTTTTTTTTAATGTTAGTGTGAATATTAGGCTCTCTTCCCTGTTTTTGCTCTGGACTTTTTCCTGGAAAAGGCACAAAGAGCATTCATACAACAGAGACCCTGTTGCTTTATTTCTCTACAGTTTCAGGGAAGTTATGTTGATGCATGTGTCTGTGGTGCGGTCCTTATCCAATATACAAAACAAATGAGAGTTAGACCCACAACACAAACCCTCTTAGTGCTCCATCTCATTCAAGTACTGGCCTGTCCTTCGACCAGTATCAGAGTTATGTTGGCACGTGCTCAGTGCTTTCTCCCAATAACATTATGATGGCAGCCAGCTCTGGGCTTTGGCCCTGGGGCCAAATCTGTCATTTCCATGTGTGTGTGCTCCAAGGCCCATTAGACACCCATCACTCGCTCGGACCCCCCTCTCACTCTAGCCCTACCTGCAGAGACAGCCTTTCGGACCTCACCTGCACAGCTGACAGTTCTGCAGCACAACAACATCTCCAGCTCTGGCTAGTGTGTGTGGTGTCTTACCCTTATAGAGGAAGCTAATGCTAATGCTAACCCACAGCTAACCTTTACAGCCTGCGGTGAGGAAGAGGACTCCACTAAGCATCACTCGCTTAGATCAAAGGACTTCCTGAACTCAAGTGTTCTCTCCGAGTGGATAATTCTGCTTCCTATACAAAGGTGTTTTGTTGAATGGGTGAATGCAACAGTGGTAATTGAGGATGGTTACAGTGCACTCACATTGATTTGTTGACTATAAATGATTCTGTATTGCCTCCAAGTGGTCAAAAGGCAGAATAGCCTCTATATTGAAATACCACACATTTTAGATTAAATGTTACAGAGGAACCGATGATCCTCAACAAGACAGAAAAAACAAAAGTGCTGCATATCAATTGTAAAAAATATGCAGCACTACTTATCAGCCAAAACAATTAAAAGCTACATTTGAAAAGGAATGTAATTAAAAATAATTAAAACTCCATGCCCCAGGTGAAGATAGCCTGAATACATATGAAGCTTGAATATCAGAATAATTACTTCCGCTTATCTGTCTCCATGAAGCAAACAACCACCGCAGCCTAGGTATACCACAACCACCAGTCACCGTCTGCACATTGTGCCAAGAGGAAACATCAGGGAAAGACCAATTAACCAGGTGATGACAGGAGCTAAATGGCTGGATTAAAGGGCTTGTTCTGTAAAGGTCAGGATGCACGCTGCTAATCTGAATCATGAGGCGAGGACAGGCTGACAGGAAGGGAGAAAAACAAACTGCATGTCACTGATGAGTGATTACAGTGCGTGACAGTGGGATATGTCGTGTCAGTGAGCAAGGTAGCATGGAGGGTAGAGCAAAGCATTAATACTGCAAAGGTTAGAGGCTCTGTTTCCCTTGTAGCTCTTTATATAGACAACGACGGCAGCAATCCTACACATACTGTACTGAGATGTATATGCTCAAGGGTGATGTCACTATTTTGGAGCTGGAAAAATATAAAAATATCTTAACTCTTTTGGAGTAATGGAAAAGTGTGTGAGATTGCATTTAGACAACCACCACAGCTTCTAAACAGACACGGAGTGCACTGACTGGTTAAGATTGAATTAATATAACAGTTACATATGAGAGTATGTGTGTAGGCTGGTGGAAGGGTGTTTTAGAAAAGAAAGCGTCCTCACGTTTTTCCAGGTGATTTTTTCAGCCAGAATATGTCATCACTGGTGATGCCATGCTCCATCGCTCCAGGGATCTGGATAAGAGTTAAAGCAGTTAACAGAAGCATCAACCTATCAATCAGCTATCAACAGATCTATCAATAACAGTTTTCTCACTAAAACATACTATCTTTGGTGTGTTAAGACTTGTCTGCTGCTGTAGGGTATCTCTCTCTCTCTCTCTCTCTCTCTCTCTCACACTTGTTTGTACCAGATAACCAACCAACCAAACAACACACACTGGCAGAGACAGAGGGAAACATCTGAGAGAAATGATAATAACAATCATACTTACATTTGTGGGGTACTTAGGCCGCCCACCTGTGGCGATCACGATGTTCTTGGCAGTGAGGATCGTCTGTATGAGAGAGGAGGGAAATGTGAGGTAACAGTCTTTGTTCATATCCTTCAAAAAACAAGGAAATGTCAAATGAAAGCAAGTGGTCTCCACAGTATTCTGCATTCAGGTGATGATGGAATGGCTCTGAAATCACTGAAACAAGTGGCCGCACTCTCAGTATGTATGAAGGTGTCCATACACAGTAATGTAGGATCCCAAAGTCGACTGAATTTAGATTTTGCACTTCAATTTAATAATTTAGTAAAAGAAGGAGAAATAAGCATATACAACTTATTTAAATGCAAATTTTAAAAGAAAAAAATTGCAAAAATACAAAGTGGTAGCAAAATTGAAACTATATAATGAGTGATGAGTGATTGAAGTAAATGTTTTAATGTTACCTCTTTTCCTGCTTTGGTTAGTCCTTTAACAGTGTGTTCATCCAGAAGACTTCCTTTAATGTTCAGATACTTCACCTTCCTGCAAAACAGAAAACAAACAGGTTGCTCCTGGTGGTGCATTAATCTACAGTAGTGCAGATCACGTACAGTAACTGTTGCAGATTTACTAATAACCCTCAATCATCACTTTTCTCACTTATTTTCTAAATATTCTCACCACAAATTCTCTACACTTTGTCTTTTTTAATCTGCTGAAATGCAAGCTAACTCATGCAAAAGAGAAAAAGAGACCAACAAAACCATGATTTAGTTGCACAGAAAAGAGGCTGGACTGTAGAAGATAATTTGTAACCTGTTATGTTTTATATGTGTTATTACATTGAGAAAACCACAAAACCCTTTACAGTCAATGTTCTAGTGTACAGGAGCTGACAGTGAAAGGTAAGGTACAGCAGAATTTGCATTTTAATAATAATGTATTTCTATATGTGATTTTAATATGAAACACATTTTGAATTTGGTTTAAACTGAATTAAATTCAACATAAAATAAACTGCACTTTTGACATGTAGACATTGTAATTTGAAAACATTGAACTAAAATCTATATTCTGAAGTTAAATTTAATATATCCTATTTAATCTCAAACCACCTCATAAAATTTAAACTGTAAATTTCACATTTTTTTTTTTAAATAACTTAAAAAACACCCTTTGAATTCATTAGTCAGTAAGAACTAATTCTAAACTCAACGTCACTGTTAAGTATAACTCACAGCAAGACTTTATTGCTGGCAGAAAAATCGAACTTAATCATTAATAATAAAAACTAGAACATTCATATAATCATATATTATTATATATAACATTTGTAATTAATACACTTGTGTGAAATGACTGCTTGACACTGTGGTCAACAGCGCCTCTCCTATGGTCTGAAAACACAGCCTCTAAACATTCTGAATCCAGGTAAATGATCTCATTGGGCTGAAAATATTTTAGGTTAAACTTGGGCTCATTCACAGAGACGTTAACACCTGTTTGCCTTCCAGGCAGTCACTCAATCAACATGCGGCTGCTGACTCCGACTCCTTCAGCTGTGCACCAGCAGAAACATACAACCTTCAGCAATATTTCATGCAAAGAAAATACACAAGGAGGGAAGAAAAACAGGCTGGATGATCATAAATATTTATGAGTATCTTATCGAAATTCTGCTCGTATGAAAGTATATGATGGAAAATGATTTTAGAAAATGCAATAGGGAGGAGGAGTGATATGATAAGTGGGTGAAACACTTAATACATCATATCTGTTGTACAGCTGTGACAATAACAGCAAGACTATCATGGGACACTAAAACATCCTTCATTACCACAATGCAACATCATCATTGAAATAAATAAGTCTGAATAAAGCAAGCAGATCTGGTCTCACTTACTTGTCCTGGAGCTGAACTCTGTGACCCCAGTTCAGAGACCTGACATGGTTTTGAATGGCTTCTGCCATGGTGGCCCTGGAAGACATACCAGAGGTTAAAACATAAACAGACCGGACACCTGCCTCCTGAACAAACTAACACTACACAGAGGAAGCGCTTAAAGATGCTTCATAATGTGCCTGCGATTGTTACGTTGTGTGTGTGTGTGTGTGTGTGTGTGTGTGTGTGTGTTCATAGGTACAGCTGTATAATGGGATATGAAAAAGAATGAGAAGCTAAAACATCAGCTCTCAGGATATCCACCATAAAAGCTACACTAAGCTTAAACTGACTCACAAAACCATTAACACACTTCTCATTTATTCCCAATTTTAGTTTTATGATTTAAATTAACTAATTCGTCTGTCTTTATTCTTAAAAGAACACCCAATCCAATAAATGTAGTGCACAAGGAGAACAGAAAGGACAATTAAAACACTGTGTACCTACAGAAAAGCCTGATCACATCACTCAGTTAATTTTCTAACGGTACATAATGACATCTTACTGCAGTTACATCACTAGATGGTGCTGTTCAGCTACTAATTCTCTGCATTGGTGGCATTTCTTCATGAGGATTACTTATCCCTTCAGCTGATGCAACATTGTGATAGAGTAAGTTGTGCCTGGGTTGGACCTACCAGTCATGTGAGACTGGCCCTGAGATCTGCCAGCCGTACTTCTTAGCATCCTTGACCGCAGTGCCCAGAAGAGCTGCCTGGTGCATGAGCTTCTTAGGAATGCAGCCAACATTCACACATGTACCACCGAGACCCCACTTGGTGCCTGTTCGTAAAAGCATTTCCAGAGGACTAAATGATGTTTTTAGATCTTCAAACAAATTATATTTATCTAATCAACTGCCACAATTAATTATATTTTACCTTTTACAGATGGCTCCACATAATCCAAAACAGCAACCTTCTGTCCCAACTGTGCCGCTGTAAATAGAGGATATATTGCCATGGTATTATTAGACAGAAATCACTGTGTTAAGCATAGATGCCCAAAATTAAGGAAAACCAGGCAGGTCAAAAGATCTCACCTTCTTTGGAGCAGGCAAGCCCACCTGAACCACCACCAATAACCACCAGGTCATAGTCATACTTCCCTGTACGAGAATATGGGATAAGAGATTGTGTATATAATAAATGTACCTAACTGCTGCATTTACCTCACACACGTTTTTATTGACCTATCTCCTGTGGGGAAAGTGACATACTACATCATTCAAACATGTGGCAATTTAGTTTGAACTTACTTGGGTGTGATATAACAAAACTGCGTAGCCAGAACAGCACTTAAAGACGCGCTCTTCACTTCATTACACAATACAGCTCACCTTATTTACACTCACACTTATCCTTAGGTAGGTTATCGTGTTATTCTCAATATATTATTAACATGAAAATGGCAATAGCAAGCAGTGTAAAAAGTGTAGCTACAGTATCTTCTTTAACTCGGTGCTGTTTGTTCGTCTGCCATCAAGCAGCCGAGAAACATGCGTCCTCAAATGCCGTGGTCGAGGACACCAGGTGAATTAAATGAAATTAATTAACCAGATAAAACTACCCAGCAGACACTCAGTTACATGAGCTGCTGGTGTGAAAGTTAGCTGTGTGATAACGGAAACACCTCCGACTATGAACGTGACCCCGGTCTGTTCTTCGTAACTACACACAATATTAGAACAACATATTGTTTTACCTGTCAGGTTTCTTGTCAAAACATATAGACAATTAGTCCTTTTCCACCGGTGTCTGCCCCTACATAACGCAGCCATGTTGTTATTATGAAAGGACCCCGCCCGGGTATGTGGTGGCTAGAGAATTGCCTGAAGAGAAATAGGTAATAAAACCATAGACTGTATATAAAAAGCATACAACCAAAGATAAAACCATACACTGTGGAGTGTTTTTGTTTTGTTTTTTTTTTGTTTTTTTAAATGTGTCGACGAATAATATAGTGTTCAAATCAAATAAAAAAGTTAATATTTCAATAAATACTTTGGGATAACCCTGATATTGAATGTAAATTTTTATGTGCATGTAGAACATACATGAAAAGGGTCACGTCAAGACTTCAATTAGTTAACTTGCTAAATATAAGGAAATTATGGGACATCCAGGATGTAATATCAGAGAGACAAATGGGTAAATGTACAAACATAGGCTAATAAGATTGAAAATTATTGTATGTATTGATAAAATGTATCAGTATGCCAAAAATAACAGAATTTCATGGAATAAAGTGATGTATCATTTCACTAAATACTTCAGTAAATTGTTTTGTTATAGTAACTTCGATTGTGGCATAAAGCATGTTACAGTATGTCAATTTCTGTGCACAATAGGAACACTTTACATGTCAAAGCAGGATGTCAAAGCAGGAAAAACAAGTATAATTAATGTTATTTTAATATTAATTTTTTTTCTGTCGGCTGTTAAAATGGTCATATACATCCTACACCAACTCAATCAATTTGAGTAAAACCATAATGACTTTATCAAGACAGGAAATGTTGAAGAGGCTTTTGAAGGCATTTTTCCAGTTGCACTCCTTTCTCACTTATTTGCATAAGGATTATTAGAATTGTCACTTGTTGGCTCATATTCATAGTCTAAAAATTCCCAGCAGTAAAAACTAAAACATCATTTTGTGTGGCAGATCCTGCACTCTCTTCTTTCACGACTAAAAATATAACCAACTGAAATAAGGCTGCCAAAGATTCAGACCCCTGGGAAAGTGCAAGATTTTGAGAAGCTCAGTGCTGCAGGAGTTAGAGGGAATCTAATGTTTTGTTCAAGGATAATTCAGTGTGGGCCATGCTTTCAAACACTAAGGTTTAAACCCTGGTCATCAGGTTTACAGTTACTCTGCTTTGTTATGACACTGCGTCACACAGTATATGCTATATCATACTGTACAACACTTTTTTTCTTAATACAGCAATGGTCTAAGTGTTAAATATCAGGATAGCAAAGGCTCTGAAAACACAGACCAAAACCCACAATATTAAGGATGTCAAAGTTGTACATTGTTTATTTATTAGGCTAATGATAAAGAGTTGTTTTATAGAAAAACCTTACTCTCTCACTCCCACTCCCACTTACCGTCAATGGTGTGTAGCCACACAGATAGTTCTGGTTTAATTTGTGTAGGTTTTAAGACACATACTGTATGTTTCTCACTTTTCTGCCTGTACAGTTAAGATGAATTGAATGACATATATGGTGGTCACAGCACTGAAAAACAAAATAAAAAAAATCCAGAAACAGTGTCCTCCCCATTACTCTGGATAATAATATAATAATAATAACATAATCCACAGTCAACACTTTTCAAGAAAACAATTTCTTTGTTAAAAAGTAGGCTATAATGTAAACTGTTAACTGTGAGCTCCACAAATGAAATTAAATAGCATTTTTTGTGATTTGGTTGAACTGACACATTCAAATCCCGGGGTTGGTTGTAATGAGCATTGTAGTCTCTAGCGGCTGCTATCAGGACAGAAGACCTTGGTCATACTGGAAATTAATAACATCATATAAAATGAGACACAAGTGCGGGCAACAGCTTCTTTCCAGGCATGATTTATTGAAAACACACCAAATTTATACTCTACAAACCAGTATTTTTCCGTTATGTTTAACAAGCGTAATATTTGCCTCTGGGTATTAGTAAAATTAACATAATACATTCTGTCACTGTGGCATCGCTTCTGCTCGCTACGAAAGCATTAACAATTTTACTCCTCTAGGAAATCAAAACCATCTTTTTTGAATGACTCTATCTTTTTTAAAAGTTTATAATACAATGTAATACAAGGCAGAAACCGCACCAACAGTCTAAACTACTTGGATTTGGGAGGAAGGTGTGGTTGGGGGGGAGGGTGGGGGTGCAGGACGAATGAATGAGTGAGCAGAGTGGAGGAAAAAGAGAGGGGGTAGACACAGGAGGAGAACGGGGGAGAGGTGAACAGATTGGATGGAGAGATGACAGTTGAAAGGGAGCAATAAAGTTATATAAAACACACTTATCTTTATCTACCATGGAAAAGGTTAAGGCACATGATAGGTACAAACACATCTGCTACTGAGTAGTACAGTTACTTTATTTTGACGGTCTTGAATCAGTTATATCTACACAGGTAGGTTTGTTTGTTTTGATGTGTGTCCGTGTCCTGCATTTATTTTACAGTTGCTTAACTTTTTATTTTGTAAATGTACAGTGTGCTGCACATCCACAAAAACAAAACCCCCTTTTTTTTGAACGCATGCAAATACACCTCCGGATCCTTTGGTTGTGGTACTGCATAGTGCAGTCAGGAATAGACAGTCATATGGGTCTTTGTTGTGAGGGTTCAGTATTGTCCAATGAAAGCACACACTTCTGAGGACACACAAAAGGGATGCTGGGTATTGTTATAATGTTTTTTAACCTCTGAAATTAAAATTTATACAGTAAGTTTTTTTGTAGTTTATTGATTTTTACCACAACGTACATTTTTGTAAACACTGTGTAAAATATGCAAGCTTTATAAAGTCACATACGTCACAAAGAAAAATCAGACTTCAATGCAGGCACATGCCGTTCGCCTCAATGACGCATGAGTGACACCAACTTGGACTGGACTCTCTTTCTGTCTCTGATTCGAGCTAAATCAGGAGACAGTAGGCTGGAAAGGAGACCGGACACGTTACCACTGGATTCTGAGCACAGTCTCACCAAGCAAGAGAAAAATGGCAATAAGATTCTGTATCTCTCTGGTTTTCTAAATCTCAACTGCCCGACCTATAACGTTGTAAAAATATATACTATATGACCAAACTTGAAGTTTTAATTTATACAGTGTGTTACAACTTTTTTTTTTTATTTTGCCTTGAATATCCAGATCCACTCGTCCACCTGTACTCTCTTCCTGCACACGAATGAATTAGTTAATATCCAAATGACACCACAAAAAAACTGGCACTTGGAAAGAATAAAATATAAACATCTGTACAGATTTTTCTTCATGCTCATGACTGAATATTTCTCTTTAAGATGCACTGGTGAAGGAGGATTCAGGGTTGGTGGTAACTTGGTCTGAATGCATTAGGAAGGAAAATGAAGGGACTTGTATTAACACTGCCATCTCTTGTCTATCCCATCACCTCTGTCTGACCCCTTGACCCCCTCATATTGTCTGTTTCAAAGATGCAGGGGCTGCCAGACAATATGTACTCATCGCCTTTAGAAAGAACACTGCAGATAAACTTTTTTTCTGTAACCTTTTTTTGACAAATACAAAATATAAATAGGTGATCGTCGGCGTAACTCGACAATATTTGACACACATTTAAGTTACGTTGTTATTTCTTGCTTACAAACATGGTGAGCCTTTATCAAATGAGATGTGCTTTCCAAACAATGTGATATTAATATACAACTAAGAAGTCTGTCATTTTTTGTTTGTTTTTTTTCCCTTAATTTTTCAATTTTTTTGTTCCTTTTGACCCTAATATACATTTATATAAAACCCAACAAAAATAAAAATGCTTTTAGATCTATCCTTTCAACAAGAGAACAATCATCTCCCTCTCTTTTCAAAAACACAAATCATTTATAAACAAAATGCCTTATATCCTCTTTAATACACATCATTGACAAAGAGCAACCAACCAGGAAACTCAAGGAGCCATGTCGCTACACAACTGAAGTGGTTACGCATGTAACCACAGCTCTGTGACTGAAGGTCAACATGCCACTTGGCTCAAACATGTTGATCACGATGAAACAGGAAGTCTTTCCATTTTATCTTACTTTTTCAATGCAGTGTTAACAAAACCTGTCACTCCATCAGATGCACACACTTTGTCACTTTCTTTTCTCCAGACCACAACTTGCAGACTCCTTCTTTTATAAAATGGACATCAACCACCTGTTAACCACTTTTGATTTCAAAGCATCTCAGTGCACTTTTTTTTTTTTTTTTCTGAAAAAACACAGTGAACCAAATGGATTGTAAATCTATGAGAGCAGGCTGCTGGGAGTACATGTTTATCTGCTATGCTACAGCTCTTCTCAGGCTCGGTTTCTTTCCTTTTACTTTTCCTTTCTCGTGTCCATCCCGCTATTCTCAAAACAAACATTCAGTGACCTTCAAAACACACCAGTCCAAACCTGTTCAATTCAAAAACCCACAAAATTTCGGGGCACGATCTTTTATCAGATGTGAAAATTGAAATGAAAAACATCAATTTTCCCATTTCTTCTCCCACAGGTTTCCTTCCAGCACACGTTTCTTTTCCATTCACTTCTTTCACTTTCCTTTGTCGCCTCCACACATGTCCATTCCTTCAACAGCACCGGCCTCTGTCCGTTTCTTGTCACTGGTAGAGCTCAACAAGAGTCAACACTGCAAAATTCACATGATGTCCGGTGGGAATGTAGATATGAGAAAGTAGTAGGAGTAGTCACTTTTTATTCTTTTTGATTTTTTTTCTGAAAAGCATGAGAATGCTGGCTGCTGCTGGGTAGTCGCTGTTGTGATCATTAATTTTTTTTAAATCCTCTTTTCTGTACAAAGTCCAACTCCAAAGATAAGCTCCATGTGAAATGGCAGTGGTGATATGAGAGATCCTCCTCTAGCTGGGGTGTCGCACTTTTAAGCCTGAAGCACATGGATAAGAGAGAAAAATATTAGAGGAACTGTTCTACTGAGTTTGAAATAACAGTAAATGAAGAGTTTCAGTCCAAAATGCTACATATTCCCTGTAAAAATGAGAAATGGTAACTTTAATACTGTACAGTGAGTTAAAGGATGAGACTGGTAATATTCTAAATTTTTGTTATTGCCTACAAATTCCATGAAAAGACCAAAATGAAAAAACGCCTGTCTCTTAACACCTAACCTTCAAGACTTTCCCAACCTTACTGTGGCATTCATCCCCAGGCCCATCTTTTTCCTACTGACTATATGAAGCTTTACAGCTGCAGTGTCTTTATATTAAAAGTGGGGAAAACAGCTATGAGTAATGTGAAAGGTGTCACTCATATGGACAGACCCACAGAGAATCAGATGGATTTTCTGGCCCTCGAGTTCACTGTTTTGGTTGAGTGTCACTGCCAGTTGGCTAGAAACAGCTCTGTATCGGGTGGATGTGTAAATGGGCAACTGTTTGCTAACATGTTTGTCTCATTAGCCGTGTTGTCATATTAATATGTCAGTGTTGTTTTTACAGCTTGTTGTGCTGCCCCCATGTCGCTAAGGGAAGTACAGTTACTGAGGGCGCTGCAGCAGCAGCAGCAGCAGGTGAGGCAGGTGATACCTGACATGTAACACCCCACCTCTTTATGACCCTATCACCCACAATATCTCAAACGTTACTTAAGCAGTAGCAAATAGTGCATTTGTTGGATTCTATTTCCATCATTAACACACAACTGGCACAGAGGAATAAGCTATACACAGACGATACCTGTTACTGTCATTGTTGGTTTTGGTCTTTTCATTGGATTTGTTGAGAATAAAAATAATTGGCCTTAACCCTTAAAATTTCACACTAAAATGTAGGTTTTCAGAGTTGGATCACATTTTACCATCACTGGATATGAATTTGGAATGAAACTCTCCACTTTAATTCCACTTATGTAAGACGGCTAGACAATGATTTGGCATTATAACAGTACTTGACAAATCTCATCAGTGTCAACAAATGCTTCAATCATGACAGTCCAGATGGCAAATGGAGGCAGGAGACAGCAAAACAGATGCTGCATGTGCTACGTCAAGTGAAAATTACTTACCTGATGGGTAATTCTTACTTTTACCTGAAGCTGTTTTTTTTTTACTAAAGTGGCAAAATTTCAATGTATACCAAAAAATCATCTTATTTCTCTGGAGTAACCCTGTGATGTGTTTCCTATAATAATGCAGTGGATGGAGATGAAAGAATTGAACACATGGCCACTGACAAAGATGACTGAGATAGGAAGATGACAATGAGGAAGCCAGTGAGGTCTGATGGGAGGCCTCTGGTGCAGGAGAGGACAACAGCGGTGAGGAGGAGGCAGGAGGAGATAGAGATGCTGCTGGTAAAACAATGACTGCTACTGAAGCTCACCCAGATCACCTGGCACCCTTGCTAAAGTCATTTAGTGGGACATTAAATAGTGGGCCAGTTTGGGAATTCAGTCAATAACCACAAGGTCTGAGGACATTACTGATTTAGATTTATTTCCTTGTGTAAAAAAATTGAGAAAAACCTTGCAACAGAAAGCTTTCATTAGACTTTAGTGGTTTTAGTTCTATTAGTTTTATAGCTCTATTCAGTGAAGCTTTCGGTTGAAATACACTTGATTCTCTCTACTAAAAAAGACATTTTAGGATATCTCTCAACCCCAAAGAGAAGCTGAATTTCCTTCTTTGTACGACTTAATTAGAAATATGGACATCTACTTTACCTAAGAAAGCAATTAGTAGTCATTTATACCATGAATTTAAATATAAAATATTCAAATGAACTACTCCAGACATCAAATTGTATGTAAATCGAATTCATGTTAGCTCACCCTCACATGAATTCACATTACATCTCTGTCTTCCCCATATTATGCCTGAGCTGATAATGTATGAATTTTTGCGCGTGCATTATATGTGTTGGCTCTCTTCATCACCGTATCAGCTTACATGAATTATTTATCTGAAGTCATCTTGCTTTGACCCAGGAAATTGTGTGTACGGAAATGTAGAAAATTGTGTGTATGCGTGTGTATGTGTCTGTGCATATCTTTTTCTTTCTCTCTACCGCTTTTCATTAAGGGATAACTGAGTCTCTGGAGGATCCACCTGGAGTGCAGAAGAATGATTCCCCTTCATCATTTGCCACCACTTTCAGCAAAGGCTGTCAGGGGAAGCAGTGAGTGAAGCTAGGCGTACATTTCAATCAGACAGGTGGTGCTGAATTGTAAACTCACACAGACCAGTCTGTGTGTATTACAGAGAGGAGACGTCACGTTGGGTTTTTTTTATTGAACAACGGTGTGTTGAAAATGTGTATGTTGCAGTGGCAAAAGCAATGTTAAACTACAAACTGAGTGTTCAGTAAGCCCCACCTCCCTTAGTTACTGTTGCTACGCCTCTCAGTTTTCTGTTCTCGCACTTGTGCATTATGCACCTTACAATAACTGGATGTTTGCCACTTCAAATTTTAAGTAATTTTTTGAAACAACAGGTCTTTGATTGTAGACAGCGATACACAAGAGTAGGCTGCTCATTTCTAGGCTACACAATCGACAGTTGTCAACTGCCAGTTGCTAGCTGAAATGACAACTTTTGCTAGCTGTAGCTGCTTAGCTAGCTAATTAAGCTAGTGTTAGCTCCATGAGTTGTTTAAAAATGCTTTTTGAAAAACAAGAATCTCATAAAAGGAGAGAAAAAATAATATATTGTGATAAAGACAGGTAATGTACCAGGAAATAGTCAGCACCCTCACCAACTGATGATCCATGCAGAAGAAATTTAAATAAAGAACGGAAGTACGATACGGAAATGATTGAATTGTTATTTCATTCTGATATCCTGATTAGCTGCTTAGCTACATACTTGTTCATGTTTTCAAACTGAATGTTTTCACTTTTAATTTCACGAGATTTTAGGAAAAGGACTGATGAACGTGTTTGGCAAACATAATGCTATTTTGGGTGATGAGTTTGACTGGGGTTGTTAAAGAGCAGGAAAGAGCTGCAAATGTTAGCCTGAATTCTGATAGCATCCAGGACCAGCTTCCACAAATGATCAGTGGATGTGCAAGTCGTGACATGCTTATGATGGCAGTTTAAGTTAAAGCAAACACATTGTTAATTCTATTTCTTACACTTTAGCTCTTTTAGTTTTTGGTTTTTGGAAAAGCTGGAGAAAAAGACATCAAACTACTTTAAATGCAAGGTGTTGCTCTAATGACAGCCCCATGCAAACAGCTTTAACATGTGAAGAAATCTAAAGCTTGACAAGCCCTCTGTGCCTAGATGCTGTACGACTGAACAATCGCTGTTTGAGAGAGGAGTTTAGTAAATGGTGAATTAAAGTATAACAAATGAAGCATTCTTTAATTAAAATCCACCCTAGAATTCTTTTACATTGAAGCCCCAACATCAGGTTGTGATTGTTAGTGTATTTCAGACATTTTCAATCTTGTAATTACATTTTCTTAATTCTTTTCCTTAATCTAGGCATTCAAGGGTATGTAATATTAGAGTGTAAATATGAAGAGTTCAAACACAATGCAAACATGAGATTTTACATAAAATCTAACATTTTTAAACCTTAAAAGTCACTTTCAGTTAAACTGCAAGTGAACAGCGTAAAATTCAATGAGAAGACCAAGGTGACTTCACCAGCTGACTGCTGTGGGTGCAGGGTGACAGCAGGTCTACATGATACAGTGTGAGGATGAAAGGAAAACAGGCGGAAACGATGAACAAACAGGGAATGAAAGGATGCTACAATCCAACTCAAAGGGTGAAGGTTGTTATTTTTTGTTGTGCTTTTACTTTTCAGACCTACCATGCATGCATTTAGACCCAGGAGTCAACAGGCTGGGGCTTAACATCACAAGCGTCCACCAGACTGACCGCAGGCCTGTTACTCCTGATATAGTGTTTCCTATTTGTGTCATTCTGTGGCCACAGGAGGACGGGTTAAAAAAAACACAGCAAAACAAAAAGAGGTCAATACATTTCAGAAATACACACACGCACACATACATACACATGCATCCAGGATCAGAGAAGCCAGTGTTAGTTCCCTGCCTTAAGGAAAGCTTGGAAAGAAGTCAGAGTGATTACAAAACAGCATACCAAAACATGCAAATGAAAGAGGGAGAGAGCAGATTCACAGCCAAGTTGCATTCAAAGCGGGCAAAACACCTCTGGGAAGTACAGACGGCAGACTTAGAAGACAGCTTTGGAGTAACACTCGAAGGTTTCCACACTCCGAAGACAAACACGACTATGTTGTACTCCTGTCTGTGACTTCAGAGCTGCTAAAAGTATCTGCCCATTGAAGAGGTAGTGACAGTATAATTTCATTTCTAACTAGTTTAATAGTTTCGCTAAATGTGACGAGAGTAAAATAAAAAGGAAAATAGATTATTGAAGCCTGAGGTCAGTGCTTAATACTGAAGCTGCCATTTTTGTGCTGCTATACTTTAATGCTACATTTTATCTGTAAACTGTCCAAACTCTGTACTTGGTTTAAAAGCCTCTTGAACAGCTTTAAAACATCATGTGACACTGAAACTTGCCGCTGAGAACCATACAAATGAAGATTTTTAATTTGTGTCACTAATCCTGTTTCATTACAGGTTTTACAAACGAACATTCCTGAGCAAAATCCTCCGTCACAAAACTGAGGTGATTCGTCTGATTATCTTTAAAGATGCCTCCAAATAATAATAATAATAATATTACTAATAAATGTGTTATGTATAAATATATGTATAAATTGTATATAAATGTTATTATTAATGAATGGAGGATGCTCTTTTAAAGCATTGAAAAAGCATACTTCCTTTTTCGCTTTGAATTTGAGGTAATCTTTGATTCCATTAAAAAATCAATGCGGAAGAGACATCAGTTAAAATGAAAATAAACAATGAAGATAAGAACCCAGAAGAGCAACTTAACACCAGATGAAAATCGTCTTTATCCAGTGGTTTCACTTCTTCACTTGATGTAGTGATGTAGAAATGATGTAGACGTGTACTCCACGGTGTGGTCAGTACACGGTGACATCAGAGTTGGGTGTGGTTACAGCTACGACAGAGCACATTTCTGACAAGGTCAGAGAAACAAAACTGAAACTTTCAACCAGGGAGGCAGTAGAACAATGATTTTCAGCCTGGTGTTAAGCTCCCCTTAACCATAATCACAACAAATCACTGCAGCAGTACCCTTAATACAAATGCAGTTTAAAAAAGAAAAGGGCAAACTTTCTTATTTCTGACTTTAAGACATCTGTTACCAGCAATATACAGTATATTATCTAGAATCTCAGCTTCTCCTCTCTCAGATATTTTCCTCTACACTAATGCCACAGTATATAGAAACAGAGAGGTCTTATGAGCCAGCTTTAAATGTTAAAGACTATCTAGCTTTTTAAAAACTAAATAACACTGTGTTCCTCTTACAAATGAGAAGCTTAATCTATAACAATAAAAAGCACCCTTGCTCAATTAAATAAATTCAGGGGCATACTGGTACGACCAGCTAGCTAACGTTAGCAAAGCATAGATATTGGTATTTTGCCTTTTGTACTTGACATTACTGAGTAAGGTCATTTACTTTAGGACTCTTGAGCAATTGTTTTCATTTTAACATTTATTTCAAATGTTACCTGCGGCCACAGTGGACACTGTTCAGTAAAAGTTACATAGGGTCGCTTTAAGATACTGAATTGTACAATTTTTCTTTGCTTTTTACATTTAAATCAAAACTGTAACACTTCTATTTTCATTATCTTAAACTATAATGAACTACACCAGCAAATCATTTTGCTGGTGTACTTTATTATAGTTTAAGATGCTAAAGTTAGTTTGAACCTGCATGGAGAAGCAGATACTGTTTATGACTGTGCAACTAAAGAGACATATGCCAAACTAACTTCAATGAACTCTTTCTTGTAGTTATTTTACAACCCCACATCGCAAATCCCATTAATTTAGCACTAAAATAGATTGAATATAAACTACAAAAAGTATTTGAGAGTCATCCAACACATGTCAGACATACTCTGAAGCCATTATCCCGCGACTCCTCGTTGAGGGTGGATTGCCAATCAGCTCCACAATAAACAAACTGTGGCTGCTGTGTGAAACGGCTGTATAATCAGCAGACAACCACCTGATAATGCAGCAGTCTGTTCATTGCCAAGGCAAGGGTCTTCTCCACAAGGAGTGCTTGTTGGCGGGTTCTTTTAATCAGTCTCAGATTAATTACTTTACAGACACCAAAAGCTTACACTCAATTAACTGGTGGCTCGCAGATCTGACGCTCTCCCCAGCGCTGAGCTGCAGCAGGCAACAGTAACAGAGAATGACAACTTCCAGCCTATTTAAAGAATCAATAGGATTAACAGCCTCTAATGAGGACCACCACAGAAGACATGAGGAGAGAGGGAAAGAGAAAGACACAGAGGGAGAGAGCATGATAATAGTTCAGTGAGGCATCATTATTTCATCCTCTATCCCCCAGTCCAGCAGGAGATCAGAGAGGTCTGTCTGTACCTTTAATGGCTCCCGTTCTGTCAGGTCCACTGAGCCGTCGCCCGCCTTGTATTTGCAGTCCTTGTCCCTCTGGTCAATGGTGGAGTAACCATCTAATGAGGTCAGACAACAACAGTCAGCTAATTCCTCTCTAACCAATAAAACCTTGACAAATAACTCATAGTGTTGTTTTAACCTGTGTTACATTTCAGAGCGGTTTTCTGCCCTGGATTCACCACAGGTTGGACACAGAAGATTGACTAAAGATGCCTCCACATTCTTGGTTCGTGCTCATCTAAACCTTCTGACACTCATGTTGTTTACCACCACTGTACATCTAAAACAAACTAGTTTAAGTACTTGCAAGTGGTATTTGACCCTGTCCTCATCACTGTCTTTAAAAATGAGCTCTCATGTAATCCAGTGTTCATCGAGCATTTCAGAGAAGGAAATCTGCCCTCAACAGCCAAACCTTCTCAGAGTGACACATACTGTCCTACTTGTTATATTATGAGTTACATTTTTTCTTAACCTACAAAATGACTCCAATCATAGCAAATATTTAGGAGAGCTCCCATGATTTCCTAACCTGTCAGAAGTCTTTTCAGAAAATGATGTTTATGCAGACACATGCACAAGAGACGTGAGGTTATGAAGAGACACCAGGCAAATATTTACACATTTTTTTAAACCTTGAATGAGATGCAAAATAAAAACATAATTTTTCAAGATTAACTGTTTGAGCCAGTCTCAACCAATGGTTTCAGCAGGAATAAATCAAACTTTAATCACTTGTCTATCTCCTCAGATAGAGTCAGATTCAATCACACATGTTGTCACGGTGTATTTCTCTACACTGAGTGACATCATGCAAATCATTTTTCTGATCTGAAGGATCACACGAGTTAATATGTAGCAATGTCATTACGGTGCAATATTACTCACTACATGCAACATGTGGTGCATTATTAACATTGTAAAACACTGTGATTGGATACAGGCATCTAGTATGGGTCACACAGTTAAGGCTCATTTTTAGTTACACTGCATATACAGTTAATGCTTAACCTACACAAATGGCTTCCTGCAATTACTCGCATTCATAGTTATTCAAAAATATTATGAGCTTTTTTTTTAATTTTGGCATCTTCATTTTTAATTTATATCCCAGATAAACTACTTACCGAGATTAATTGATCATACACATCAAGGCTACAGATAAGAATGTGTCTATTTTCTGCACTTCAAACTTAAATATCTCAAGCTGTCGGAAAACTACAATAAGCAATACTACGCATCATCATTTCTACTTTGATGCTCTGAGTCTTGTCCTCGGAGTAATCCTTCTCCTTGTTGAAAGTAAGTGTAAAAAGCTTCATAAATAAGTCTCAAATCCTACTTTGATTCTTTGAATCCTAGTTTCACTTTCAGCACAGTTCCTGGGAGGGATTTTTAGACACTGGATAAATACAGGCCCACAGGCTTGGAGGTGAACCAACATGATACTGTATACCCTGAGAAGGTGACTTTGAATAGGAGGGTGAAAAACAAAAAAATATAACAAATATAAATGAAATTACTCCTTCATGGAAAAAAACTGTTATTCTATCTGTCACCCCTAAGAGTCTCAATATTCTTGATCTGTTAGAGTTGCAGCTCTATAACAAAAGGATTATTTATTTTGAGTATAGCAGAGGAAATCTGTACTGAGATATAATAAGAGTGTATTTATTATGCAGTAAGTGGAGAACCACCCACATCCTTTGGTGTCAAGCTTCTAATCAAAGCCCAGCTTTGTACAAACATCTTGTCAAGAGAGGGGTCTTGCATACAGCATCAAAGGGTGTCATGTCTGAAACTCGGTCCAAAGCCATCGTACCGAGATCAGGATGTTCAGTGGTTTGAATTTTCTGATGAAAAAAAAACCAAAAATCTTGGCAATGCTTGGTAGTAGAAGAGATGTTGAATCACAGAAGATACTATGGGACACTGCGGACAGATTAGAGGAGAGCTACTTCTTCTTTGGCTAAGGACGATCATGCAGTCTGGCTCTTACCTGGACCCAGCTCATCCATAGGTATCATATCACCACTGCCACATTTCCTGGTGCCTGAAAAGCATTCATATGCCATTTGTACAAAAGCGGCACACACACAAACTGAGTCATTGAGCCAAAACTCTTCTGCTTTTCAGGGTAATGGTTCTCGGCCAGTGATTGAATAAAGCAAACTGAGAGTGGGCAGGCATGAGCGCCACGATTCATGTGCATGTATGGATGTGGGAAAAAAAAAAAAAAAAAAAATTAAAAAGGGGGCCATATAGCCAGAAAATCAGGACAGTAACCTGCTGCTATGCTATTGACTCCTCTGTCAAAAAGATGTTTGTTGTTGGGCCAATGTACCGCACAAGTCCCCCTCCCTCCCCCACACATGCTGCTGCTGTTATAGAAAACCTCTACCCCAGTTTTTTCATTGGATACAGCTACATACACTTATTTAAGAGTGGAGGAATATTCATTATCCCTGACCTTATTACATCAATTCAAAACCCAAGATGAAAAAAAAACAGTTGAACAACATTTCTTTATATTCCTTCAACACAAACTTCTTGAGGGTGTCAGGTTTTGGTTCAACAGCAGCAGCATGACGTTCAAAGCTCCATTTCCCATTTAATGTGCTTTGTTTATTCCTTTATAATAAATGGCATTATTGCAACATGTAACACATCACAGCTTCACCACACAGTGGATGAGTGTAATAATGTGGCAAGCATGGTGCTTAAATATAGCCATGAAAAAAAAAACAAAAACATACATATCCTCAGCATGTGGACACACACTGAGCCAGATGCTGTTCTCCAGTATTTGTTAGTATTTTGTTTAAACCCGTTTTAAGGACTGTACAGGTGGGATGCTCCATGTCAGGTAGTTTATGTCACGTGTTACCCTGTATTTGCAGGGCCTCTTAAAGGATAAGCCTGGTTATATTCTATATTTTTGTCAAATAGTCGATAAATCCATTGAACTAATGGATCCTACCAACAAGTACTATGCGTAGCCAAAGTCTGGTGTATTTTATTTGTCTCTGAGCTCCATTCTTGTCCAGAAACTATGAAAACACATCTGTGAGCCACACTGTTGCACTTGGTGACATGTTCTGCTATTGCACTGGGCACTGCACTTTATTCAGAATCAGTTGCACACCACACTGCTGCTGAATCAGAGCACCAATATGTGTTCATCCACAGCGGAAAATTATTTCAGTTTGCTGAAATCCACGGTGCACAGCTAGTTTAGGAAATTACAGAATATAAAAAAAAAGAAATTTAATGTTCTCGTTTTTAAAAATGTCTATGTAGTAGGAAACCAAAGACTCGTGTGCTGTGCGCCATAGACAGTGTAGAGAGGTCAAAAAGTTCTGAGAGACAGACTAATTCATTTTTGGTTTTGGTGTTTTAATGGGATTTCTTTATAATAACAATAACAAAGATCACTAGCCTTATCCTTTAAATTAGTCACTTGACTTCCATGTTTTACCATGGTTACCATGTCTTACACATTTGTTCTATAGTGAAATAAATAACAGCATTGACTTCTTCCTCATTTTGCTGAGGCTCCCTGAGGTATTTTCTACCTAATCCCACCCATCTGTCCTCTAAACAGGCCAAAACAGCAACACACCCAAACACGCACACGCACCTTGGTTCTTCTCCATCAGGGGCAGGGTGGTGTCATCATAACCTGGCTTGCCGTTCTTTGTTGCTTTAGGGGTGGCTGTCACTGTGGGCTGTGAGAAAAGCGACAGAGCAAGCAGCATGTTAACGTGACATCATACAGCTCAAACTGGTACATGTCGAACAAAGAGAATTATGCTTTCTCTCTTGATACCGCCCATACAGAAATGTAATATATGACATACTGTATATGTCCTTATATTAAGAGTGATGTTGCCATATATGTCACCTAGGGGATATATTACTATCACATATATACATCCTCAGGATATATGAAGATATATGTTTATAATATTAAAATAAAAATTTGTATATGTATATACATTAAAAATATCTATGATGACTTTTTATATGGTATAACATGTTGCAAGTATATGTTAACAATATATGTTTAATTTATATATGCAAGTTTATTCAAACAACATACATATAAAAATTCAATAAGCCTATATATGTTTTTTCTTATTAATTTCTTATTAACTTTACACATGTCTATCTTCCCATTCTGGGAAAGTGGTCTCAGGCTTTTGGATCCCACTATTTACACAACATATATCTACAGTACATACATAAACATACATATTTGTAGGGGCTAGACAAATATGTCAATATATGAAATTGTTCCAATTTCTCATATATAATTATTACATACATGTTTTTGTCTTAAATGTATATATATTTTGTATATGGAAATCCAATATATGTACATACAGTATATTACATTTGTTTGTGGGTGGGTTAGGGTTGAAAATATAGAGATGTTTACCATTTTACAGACTGACAGTCTAAAATATCAGAAGTTGACATGTGTAACATCAACTGTCTGTACATAACATGAATAATATGAAGACTGCACGTGTTGGTAAGTAAGTGTTTTAATATAATATCTGTACCACCTTGTTAATACACATGCTGTCCTTAAATTTCACTGCAGATTTATCTCTAATTGTTTTACTAAAACTTTTTGTCATACAAACTTAGTGGGACACTTGTGGTTTGAATAATATTTTTTAAGAACCTGATATCACAATAACAATATTCAAGATTCACACATACAGTATGTGGAGGAAAACAGTTCTGTACCTGGAAGTGGCTCTTGTTCCAGCCGTCCTTGGTCAAAGCGTTTCTTAGCTCCTTATAACTCCACACCGTCTGCAGCACGTGGGACGCCGCCTTTGTTTCGCGAGCTGATTGGCTGAAAGAACCACAACAAGGAAGAAATAAATTAAGAAATAATGAGAGCAATTAAATTCAGAAACCTCATCTAATCCTCAAAAACATTGATGGCTGGGTGTGTGACATTAGCACGCCGCCGCCGCCGCTGCTGCAATCAATCTCTTCATTCAAAGACTTCAAGTCTCCTGAGTGGCTCCAGGGTCTAGTTTTTAATTCATAGCCAGATGAGTGGATGTTTCCCTTCATTAGCCACCTCTGAGCCACCAGTATTAATTACATGTGGGTGGGGGCTCACTTCAAAGAAAGCTAATCTCAGAGGGGGTGAGAGGAATCACAGCTATTTGGTCTGTGAATGAACAATGTATATTCATGCTGGTTAGAATGACTGATTGATCAATACTGAGCTTATGATCAATACGAGCCTTTGAGTGCTCTTCATCTTAAATTAATAGTGTGGTGTGGTGCAGAGCCACTTCATTTTGGAACAGCTGACATTATGATGATATAAGACACTTCTTGAAATATCGGCCTTGATATCTGTTGGTTTTAGTTATCGGGTTGTTGAGGCGAACTCAGAGGAGCGTCCTCGCGCTCACTTGTATAAGCAGCAGCTTCAGAGGCGCCCCCATATAACAATGCCCTCCAGTTCTAAAAGCCTGTTAATTAATGTGTGGTGGGTAGCGGTGTGCGTGTGGGCTCGGGCTTGTTAGAGTGTAGTACTGTGGTAGCCAAGCCTGGCCTATTAGAGACACATTACATTATCCTCCATGAATACTAATATAAAGTCTCATAATGCAAATTGCATTCAAGGTCACACTGTAATTATCTGTACTGTATACGTATGCGGTCTCTGTGGTATAGCCACACTTCTGGCATGGTTAACACAAATATGAATATGGAGTTTCTCTTGAAATTCACTGTGAGCAACATAAAACTGTTTGACCAGTAAACAGTGTATGACTGATAATAAAAACAAAAGGGCAATCACCTGCAATTTACTGAGTGTGAGGATTTGGGTAATCTAGGTATATTCTTCCAGCAGCTTATTTTGTGATGAAAAGGCAAACAGTTCTGCCAGTGTTGAGTGTGTAACTGTGTTGAATGTGCCATCTGGGCTCATCCATATCTAAAAAGTTGCCAAATTAATGCATAAAATCCTCCAAATAATCCAAATAAGACAATGCACAGTATTAGAAATTGTAGAAAAATTGCTGTAATTGCATTTATGGTAGAATATGTGATGTACCGTATATATGTTGCAAGTCTTACCTGGTCCTGTTGATGGCGACCAGCTTCTCGATGGCCTGCGCCTGGATGAGGGAGCGGGCGTTTTCAGAGCTGTCGGTGACGATCTCGTGGATGGTGTTGAGGATGGCGACCACGGTGTCCTCCTCCAGGTTCTTAGCAGGTCGCTGCTGACCGCTGGGCAGGTTGCTCACCAAGTCCCGCATGGCATAGCTTCCTATAAGGTGACATTTTTTTTTTTTTAAGATTAAGCAGGTGATAGTGCTGGGATAATAAAGTTTAATTTAAAATGTCATCAAATTTGAGATTTGCTAATTAGATCAGTTTAATCTTATCTTACTTATCTAAGTCTTTGAATCTTGTGAACTGGGATCATTTAAATGGTATCTCATGTTATTTCACCTAATTTCTGAAATTTTGAAACAACACTCTTATCTTTACTTGAAACAGTTAATGTTATAACACGAGTAAGATTTTATCAGCTGTCTTTTGATAAATAAAGTTTTAAAAAACTTTACAGTAAAGTGAATGACTTGTTACAATGGATATGTGGGCATGCTATCAACTGTTGAAAAACTAGTCAAAACTTTACATCTTATTGACCAAACAACACAGTATATAATCTAATGCGCACTTGTAAGACAGGTGTGTTGGAAGCTGAAATATAATAAAAACACAAAATGTATTTCGAGGACAGGTTCATGTTTTTTCAAGTCTGTCTCTAAACAATACTTATGCACACGCCCATATGTAGCCACACTATCAGTGGCTGTAATCCTCCCTCCTGACTATACTATGAGATATACTTTACATGGGGAACAAAAGGCACAGTCCTCCTTTCATGTAAAAATGCAAACTGAAATTCAAGTGAAACTAATGTGAGACTTATCGGTGGGTATGTGGCTCTACAGACTCAGTAACTTTGGAAGATACCCACTTGATTTGGCTAACTCAGACTGCTTACGACTCATATTTGCTTTGGCTGAACTTTTAAGTGCGTTTTTGCACAGAACAACAATTGCAGATTTTGTTCTCTGTTTCTTGTAATGAGATTAGGAAGAGAGCTCTTCAAAGCCAGTATCGACAGGAGGGATGATTACAGCCAATAACTCTTTCAGTGTGCATATGAGTGTGTGAGTAAGCTGTGTAAAAGTTTGAATCTTTGGCTTTAGACAGTTATTGTTGTATTTTAAACTGTGCCAGTTTAAAACAAAAATGCTATCTGATGTGTGCGTGATATTAACGGCTAACGGTTTGTACCGATCAGGTCCTTGTTGCGGCGGTCGATGGACAGGTTGCGCAGGGCGATGGCCACAGCTCGGACCACCTTGTCAGAGTCAGAGCGCAGCAGCTCCACCAGGATGGGGAGACCTTTCTCCTTACGCACCGTGGCTCTGATGTAGTTGGACCACTGGAGGGGAGGACAGAGGCATGTTGTGACTGCTTTTACATAATTTCAACCTTTAACCTCTAGTGTAGGATGAGTGAGCGCGCAGTGGCAGCAGCATCCTGTTTGACATTCAGGCAGACCTACAGATTCCCACCGAGGAGCTGCCCAGCATGACCGCGCTTCTTTACTTTTGACCACTGGGAAAGCTCCGCTGGAGGAGTCCAGGTCACCTCCGTCATACCAGTCGAGGGAAGGGGTAAGACATTTATCTTTTTCAATCATTCACTCAGTGACAACAAGACAGCTCAGCACTGCTCCTTGGCCTTGACTAATTCACAACATTACACAGTGGGGCTCTGAATGGACATGTGATATAATTTCTCTTAATTTAAACATCAGTAGATTTTACTTCTCATTTTTTTGTAACATGAAACATTAAGTTTTACATAAAAGGATTTCTCTTCTAAGCACTGATGCCCCCAGAGATGTAATTAAGCAGAGGACAGGCGCAGCTGAACCACCAGGTGGCAGTAGTGAGCCTTGGGAAAACAGGCCAATACAGTGGCACAAAAATAAGCAGAAGCAGAGAATGAGGAGGATTTAAAGGAGAAGCTCTGATATCCTCCCAGGGAGCAGGGACACGCTTTGTCCGGCTACCAGATGTGCCAGTGTGATGGGTTTCTGGCTCCACGGGTTCGTGAGCTTGGCCAAGAATCCTGATCAGCTTCCACTGGGAAAAAAAAAAAAAAACGCCAAAGGAAAGAAGGATTTCTCCTCAAAATGCCCACCTTAGCTGAAAATCACTACTATTGAATTATTCAGAGCACCACATGTGAGACTCAGAGCTGGATGTTAACTCATGAAACTAAAAAAAAAAAAAAAGAGTTCAGGTGGGTTTTTTTTTTCTCTTTCCTGGACTGAGGGATGTGTTTACAGTCTGACACATGGGTGTTAAAAGAGGTGGCGTCGTGATGATGCTGCCGTGGGCTGAATACAGCCGGCCCGCTGAAAAACATAAGTGACCGCTCTCGCCCGGAGGTGCTGCGCGTAGACTGGCGTCTGACAACCGGCCTTCCCTGTTGATAATTCACTGCTGCTTGAAAAGCCAGACAGCCTCTCAGCAGCTCCACAGCCATTCTAATTGGAATAAATGTCTGAGCCTCGCTGTAGAGGTCCTTACATCATCCATCATCACAGCCAAACATCTACCAGAGATGAGAGCGTGTTGTGCATTAGTTATCAAGCTCTTATGTAGCCATTGAATCCCACGTAGACGGAAGGACCTAACTGAGAAAGAACTGTGTCTACTATAAACCTATAAATCTCCATATGTCTAAATAAAATAAAATTTCTCTTTGACAGTGCAATGCTCATTTTTTTGTTTTCAGCCCTCAACCATCGTGGCAATCAATATTTTTTATGATTTTACTGTGTGAGCGGCCTGCTGCCTGCTTCAGCTGCGCCTCTTTCTTGAGATTTCCTTCTTCTTACAAAGTTGCTATACGGTTTGCAGAGACACCATTGCATTTGCATCTTGTGACACTGAGCATCTCTGGAAGGAATCTCTGTGTCCTTTTAATCCTGTTTAACTCTAGATACTTTTGCTCCGATCGCAGTCCAAAATGTGTGTTATTAAAAGGACAACGATGAGAGCAGGAGCGGCAAAAATGCAATATATAAATAAAAACAAGTCAGACAGAACAGTGTGTACGTGTTGTGCCCTCCCCAACCCTGGACTCACGGTCCACTGTCCAGCGCTGAGGTTTTGTAGAGCCCCGGCAGCGGCCTCCAAAGTGTTGTAGTTCTGGCTCTCTGTCAGCAGAGACAGGTAGAGCCTCACCACCTCCGGCTGATACAGCAGCTCAAAGCCTGCAGGGAAATACAGAGAAACACACACACACACACACACACACACTGGTCAAACTACCTGGCAAGACACAAGCCAATTAGGCTGCATGAGGGTACAGGCAGTACAGTGCTGAGATTTATCTCTCTGGCACGAGGGGCAACAGAGAAGAAGCCTGGGTCTGGCAGCAGCAGACAACATTGATAAACGCCACAAAACAGAAATGCACACAGTTTCACAACATAGAGTCTAGAAAGCAGGAGCTTGTTCACTTGGTTTCACAATAGTAACACTTTTATGAAGAAATGCTGGAACAGAGCCTGGTAGTAATATGAAGACATGTTATGACTGAAAATATTTGTAGGATTATAAATGAGGAGAACACAAGACGGAGAAGTTATTGATCTGACAGCTCTGACCAAACTCAAAGTGTTTCTGAGGGACGCTTATCTCACCAGCACATAACACATTCAACAACAGTCAATCATTAGGCCTTCCCTCTGATGGAAACCTAATTACATTATCAGCTATTAGACAGTGGAGGCGCAGGGAGAGACAGAGGCGTTAAAATCACATCAAATCAAATCCATTCATCCAGGGTTTTTTTTTTTTATTAATTTTTGCACAAACAGGTGCGTCACTAAGTGCTCTATAAAGGATCAAAAAGACACACAATGATTCAATTAAAAAGGTCAGAGCATGGATACATCTTCAGTCAAGGTCATTTTCAGCTGTTCACAACACTGAAGGGAGTCGTACATTTTTTATGGCCGGATACATCAGTCCACAGCGAGCGAGGCCATCTCATCAGATTTCAATAGCTGCCTCACTACTGTGATGATGTTGAAGGCAAATTCTGACACTTACACACACGCTCAGGTTTTTATTTCAGATGCGTCTAAAAGAAGAAGTCATGTAAATGGATCTCAGGATGTTTAGCTCGCATATGGAAAATAATTGGCGGCATAGTTGACGGCAAAAGCGTTAAGCAAATGTCTTTCGAGCGAGGAATCAAAACAAAGCCAGAAGTAAGGCTTCAACAGGGGCGCAATCTGCTATTACTCACTGAAGCTTTAACAGGCTTCTGCTGTCTGGATCACAAGTTAGCTGATGCCTTGGAACTAGTGGCTAAAATCGTTTTTTTATTTTACAGAAACACCATTTCACCAGCAGCTTCCTTCCTATCGTCTACAACCGGACACAAGCAATTTCAAATCCTTTTTCTATCCCTCTAGGCTCAAATTAAAGAAAATATAACCCACTGTTTCTTCCCAAATCTTCTGAAGCCTGTATTTCCAAGGTTTCTATTTGAAAACCCCTGTATTATGTGGGCAAGGATATATGGAAACCCTGTTTGATTGATGCGCAAGGGCTGACAAGGCCCTCAGTACATTTTTTAGAGGTGAAAAAAGAGAATCCTTTTGTAAAATGAGTGTGACTTACAAGTATGAATAACAACCCTCAAGAGGGCATCTTAAGGTAACATCTCATTCTTTTTATTGACTTACTTTTTTCAGAAGAAGAAAAGAAAACAGTGAGGGAGGGAAGAGTGTCATTTTTGTGCTTGAGAAGTACAACGGAAACACACAAATTGACATTTGTGCCTCTAAATCCACATCTCGCACCCGTAATTTGCAGAGGGCGGAAGCCCGGGCGCACTCTGCGACTGCCAGATTCAGACACAGCAACATAGTTGTTAACACTCCAAAGGAAGGGTTTTCATCCCTGTGGCGTTTCCCCTCCCGATTATGCCGAGCCTGTTCCAGAATGTGTGTGGGAGGAAGTGCCAGGTCGGGTGGATGTTACCGTAGGTGCTGCTTGAGAATTCTTGAGCTTATTTTCAAAGAAGCGTCAGAAGCAGGAGTCGTTCCGGTTGTAACCATGTGCTCAAACATGAATCACATCAATAGGTTTTCTGAGGAGTGACGCAAGAGGGGAGAGTCTGCAAAGCAAACACTCAGCAACATTCTGCACGCTCCTCATATTTCTGGGCCTACTGGGTGCACACTCAGCAAACCGGAGACCATCTTGCAGGCAGTCTTGTTGACAGACACTTCATCTCCGAGGCAGATTCTGTCTGCACAAAATGTCAGCCATGTTGAACCTCTGTTGCCAAGTTTGCCTGCGCTCCAACACTGTGCCCATTATGACTACATTTTTTTTTTCTTTCTTTTTTTTTTTGGTAATATAATCCGCAAAGCCACATTTCCTTGTAATTCCTGGGGTTTTGGTCTGGCAACCAACTGAAGCGACTTATGAAATTGGCGTTTAACAAATGAAGGACTCGAGACAAAAAAAGACATGTACTGCTCAACAAAGGAGGATGAGAGCTGAGGGAAATTCACTGGGCCTTTAAACTAATTCCCTTATCCATAGTGGAATTTCTCGCTGTTGAGCCAGAGAATATCTCTGCCTGAGCTTTCAGTCAGCGTCCTTAGCTGGGGCTTAATGTCAGCAATGAGTACCTTAGGTCCCTCCTAGCCTCCTAGCACTAGCCAGGTCAAGCTCTTTTGGCAACCGTGTACTGTGTTGTTGTTGCTGTTGTTGTCATCAATTGTGTCCTGCTAGCCTGTTGGCCCGCTAGTTTTCAGTCTGTTGGGCAGAATTGCAATCGGGAGGAGGAGATGAGCTGTCAGTGTGACGTGACCTCGGCTTTGCTCAGGGCAGCCCTATATTCTGTGACAGACTGCAAACATGATGCGATTACGTAAATCCGGATGTATGCAGGGGAGCAGTGTGGAGGATATGCGAGTGAACTTCATTATCATTGGTGCATATGGCTAGTTATGATGGAGTCTGGTGCACCAGTGGTGGACTAGTATTTATTCACCAAAGCTGCAAACATGCAAAAAAAAAAAAGTCCTGTATTTGAAATGTTACATGGACTTAAGGCTGCTTCACCCTCACTGCTCTCATCACTGTAGTTTCCAGGAGTAGCAGAACCCACTGTACACTACCTACCACCAAACAACACAAATACATAGTTTTTGAGACTAGCTAGTGAACACAGTGGAGCATTTAGCCGCATATTTCCCTCAGGAGTCGGTGGACACTAAAAGCCAGTGAATATTGTACTTAGATTCATCAGCTTGACACAAACAGGACTCTGAATGAATGCTAATGTTGCTCAGTGTCTGCTGGATGTGTAAACAGGCATCCGTTTGGTGATGGGTTTGCTGGATCAACTTAAAAAGGTGATTATGTGTCAGACATTACTGAGTTTATATATTGCTTCCTCTGCCTCCATGTGGCTGAATAATAAAAATAAATGCAGGTTTAAACTATCAGTAAAAGCACTTGTTATGGAAGCAGACTGGTCTCCATCAGAGTCAAATAATGTTGTATTTTTCAGACCAGATTAGTATTAATGACGCATTCAAATTTAAGCAGCATTTTAATGTTGTAGCAGGTCAATGAACTAATTTTGTATCTTATAATCTGATCATGTTTTGTATGTCTGTATTCATCTGTGAAATCACTAGTACTTATGACGATGAAGTTTTGAAAATTACAATTAGAAGTTCCTCAGAAACATCCATCCATTATCTATACTGCTTATCCATGAAGGGTGGCAGGTGAGGGGGGGGGGGGGGCTGGAGCCAATCCCAGCTGACACTGGGTGAGGGCAGGGTACACCCAGGACAGGTCGCCAGTTCATCACAGGGCTGACATATAGAAACAAACAACCACGCTCACATTCACACCTATGGGCCCTTTAGACTCACCAATTAACCTATTGTGCATGTCTTTGGAGTGTGGGAGGAAGAACCAGTAGAGAACCCACACAGATACGGGAAGAACATGCAAGCTCCACACAGAAAGGCCCCAGGCCCGGCGTTCAAACCCAGAACCTTCTTGCTGCGAGGCTACAGTGCTAACCACTTCACAACCGTGCCGCCCTCGTCAAAAACACACTTTAATGTAAATGTTCCATCACTGTCAGAAACATGTAAATAAAGCAGCCTCCTCCAACCACCTAAAACACACACACATACGCCAAGTCAATTAAATAATCTATAAATGAATACATTAAAGTATAACTAACATTAGCAACATCTCCCAGTGAGCTCAGCCCAGCGTGACTGTCTCCCCTGCTTGTACTGACTGTTGGTGTGGCAGACATCACACACAGCTGTGGCCTCCTTGCAAGACTCCTGCTGAGCTTCACAACTCGTGCCTAGTGACAGACACACAAACACACACACACACACACACACAGACGCACAGCTTTGCCTCAACACACACACACACACACACACACACACACACACACACACACACACACACACACATACTCACACACAACAGCACAACACACCCACATCCCTCTTTGTTCGCACACACACACACAAACACATACAAATACAAATGGGCACATTTGGTAACATATGCACAAAATGCTCTGGAGATCTAAGCTCATCCCTAAATGAGGTGAGAGGGGAGGAGCAGCAGGTTATTTTTCAAAGCAGAAGACGGCGGCGACAACTCCCGCAATTGAGGCGAAGCTCAATTAGCGCCCGGGCACTGAAGAGAAGGGGCTTTGTGGCGCTGCGGTGCATGAAAACTGGGTTAGAAACAAAGTTAAGTTGAAGTGATTGAGTGATGCTCAGCTCAGAGCTATGGTATTAATACGGTTCAAGCAGCCTCACTATTGGCTGCAATTAAAGATAAGGTGTAGCGGTGTGACAGGCTGGTAAATGATAATGGATTAACTGATGGGTGAGGAAGGGACACACACACACACACACACACACACACACACACACACACACTCTCATACGTGTGTGAATATAATGAAGACTCTTCTCTCAGACTCACACACTGAGACAAACACCTCACTGACTCAATCGTCTCAGCCATCTGCCTAACTCTGGGATAGTAGGTCGCATTCGTGCATGAACTGGATACGCACTTCTGCAAACACCTCTGTACACACATACACACACACACACACACACACACACACACACGCACACACACACACACACACACACAAATCCACAAACACACCAAGCCCTCGCCC